AGGCCAAATGGCGGCATATTTTTCACGGGAAAAAATTTTATTGTTTGTACTGCTACTGACCAGCGGGGTAACCAGGCCTTTCGCAAGTTCCGCGTGACCGTGAAATGTAAGTCCAAACATATTTGAAGTAATGAACTGAGAAACAAGCTGAAACAATTCTTAGGTTTCGTTAACATTTAGGATTAAGCCTTAACTGTTATCTGCACGTCAAGCCATGCACCGTTCAGGGTAATGCTGACAAATTTTTTGAACGCGTTTGGTTTGACTTATTTGCACACAACAACGTCGGAAGACATTAGATGAACAGACTACCTGATTAACTGGCAAACAACTGAGTTAAGGAAGAAATTACTAACTGTTGTTTCCCTATGCTCCCAAAATTCGGTCTCCACAGGGGTATTGTTACTCTGTTGGTGGGTTTCACTAACCATTTTGAATTTTTTATGAGTGCAACAAGGTGGAATTTTGTTTTAAACCAATCGGTATAGAGATAGAAGGGTATGGGTAAAAAAAGGCTTGTATAGATATGTAATAATTTTTTTCTTTGTTTCCTATTTTAAAGTACAATGCTTCGATCAGTCAAATTCTACTCTCATCGCATATTTCCTGAGGCTATTCCGCTAATTCGTAGTTATTTGTTGATTAAGAAACTTGTCGGAAAATGTATTTTTCAAAAGCAATCTCAATGTAATAAATAGAAAAATGATCATAATTTTGACAGTGGCGGATCTAGGCATAGTCAGAATAAATTACACAGCTAAATTTTAAATTCACAACACCTTAATAATAACATTAATTGTTACGGATTTCAAAAGAATATTTTAAAATAAAAATCTACCAATGCAATTACGATTTTAAGCTGTAGTAATTTATGCTCACTTCCCCTAGTTCTGCAACTGAATTTGGATTACCTCTTCCTTTTATAAACAAAGAACCTTAAATTATCGTGTTTCATGAAGTTAGTAATATTAACAGTTCTAATAATTATTTTGTATGTTCACATCACTTTGTTACAGAGATACACTAAAAGGATTACTGATTGAAATAAACCACAGATTCAACATGAAACGACCACAGAGTGACGACAGCAAAGAATTTAGAAAGAAGAAGGAAGAGGACAAGAACGTCGCTAAAATATTATCCCAGTGTTGGAAGCCAGAGAGAATTTTCCTGGCAGTGGCGGATCTGGGGGTTGTGCAAAATAAATTACACAGTTTAATTTTAAATTCGAAACACCTTAATAACAACGCTATTGGTTAGAGATTTGAAAAGAATATTTTTACATTAAAATCTGCCAATGCCATTCCGATTTTAAGCTGTAGTAATTTATTCTGCAATCCCCTAGATCCGCCACTGTATTCTGTGCATTCTGCACTCCCCTAGATCCGCCGACTTTGAATAGCGTTATTGTCAACCTCGTGCCAAGGTAATCATATGTTGCAATTAATAAAAGTTGTTTTACGATCCATTGTTTGTGTTCAATATGTTCAAAATCTTTTGGTCATCAATTCCCGCCGAAAATGCATATCGCTGATGTATTACGACATATGAAAACTATACGCTAAAATTAAGACCTCTCCTTCGTGCCAGACTTAAGAACCATTAAGATGAACCAGGCAAGCTATAGTTGCATGATGAACACTCCTAATTGATAATCAAACGTTCCGAACTACAAAACTTCGACTCAAAAAATGAGACAAAAATATTTTAGCCTCGAAGCATTTGACGCATAGAATACGAGAGAGAATGTCCAGAAATGATGGATCCCATAATTCATAAAGAAATATACTACCTCTAAGTCTTTATTTAAGGTGAAGTTGCGGCTGATACTTGTTTTTGTTTCTAACTTTAACTACTTGTTTATTTATCGTCCTGAAAAACAGGGACATTACAAGATGTGATAAATTTTACCGACATCAATTGAAAAACACATTTGGCTGAAAACGCACGAATGAGCTGACAGGAAAATTTTAAATTCACGTTTTATACCCTACCCTTGCTACTGGAGAATTATCGGCTGATGATCGGTCTGAAAATATGGAACATTCATTGTTGAGAATTGAGAAAAGATTCAATGATTCAATTTTAAAGACTCCCTACTTTCCAGTTAAAGGGGTTTAAAAAGGCACACTAATAAAAATTAGAGAAAAGATAACGTCAATAGCTTTGATGTAAGATTCTGTGAGAAGATGAAATCGGATTTTGAACCTTAGTACATTACTGAATAACGCAATGATTATTCACTACTCCAAATTAGAAGAATTGGCCCTTTAATCAGAAAGTAAATCTGTCTCGTCTGATTCATTATCATCACTGCTTTCACTTGGATAAATAAACCACATTAGTTCATCCAAATTTTTGTTTTCACTATGTGTTTGATCCGGTGGTCTAACATCCGGTGGTCTAACTACCTGCCGATCTTCCAATTCAGAATTTCTCTGCAGATGTCGGGAAATTGAGGGCAACTGGAAATTTTGAGGCAATCCTGTTTTCAACCCATAAAGTCTTATGATACGCACATCACCAGAAGAATAAAGGCAAGCAAGTTTATCCTCATCAGGAGACATTGCTATTCTAACTATAGACTCCTGCTTTCGATATGCAACTGATTTCCATTCAAGAAGGTCAAACAAAAACACAACACCATCGATACCGTATGATATCAGATAACGATTCCCTCTCAAAAATTCACATAATTCTATTTTGCCTGAATGATTTTGTGGTATTTTACAAAATGTGTCTTGCCCGTTCAGTGGAAATATTAAAATATCATTAGCAATGCAACAAGCTAGCATTTTGTTATCAGAAGAGACGGTACAGTGACCACATTTGTCCAACGCTGCGTAATTTGGGATAGTAAGTTTTGAGCATCTCTCTAGTGTTGCATACTCTAAAACAAGGATAGCAGAAATACTGCAAAAACACAGTTTGGTGTTGTCTGAAGAAAAGCAACAGCAGTCAATGCGTATTAATTCGAATGGAAAGGGAGGGAGAATGGGGCCAGTCAAAGCCTTAGTGTTGACGTCGAACACGTAGAAAGACTGATTATCACTGCCATATTGGACACAGAAAGCAAGCAAAGAGCCATCAGGCGAAAATACAAGACAAGGAACAGTGTATTCACACTCCTCTGAAAATTCGAAGACAGGGTAAAGAAGCTTACCAGTGCTAAATAACAATAATTCACAACTTTCGTGTAAGGCAATTAACTTTCCATTGGGCGAGAAAACACCTTCCTTTACAGAGTTTGTTTGTGAATTCTTTGTGATTTTTTGTTGAGCCTCTGTGTCCTTCGAAACCAACATATCCTGCTCTACTTTCCACAATTTGCACATTCCGTCTGAGTGAAGCGACATCATTGTATCAGCTGAAGTGAACGAAACGTTAACTAGCTTACTTCTAAATGTGATAGCATTGCTATTAGCCGACAAAAAGCTTAACCGATTTGCAGGTAAATCAGTCAACATAACGATTATTCTTTCATTATCTCCAAGAAAAATATACCCAATCCCCTCAGTATCGCCAGATGCACAATGCACAGGCCCCCGAATATACAAAACGGTGCAATTTCCAAAGAAATAGCGTACAGATTTTTTCTCGAAATACAAAAAATTACTATCATTGTAAAAGCACAATAATAATTTTATACACTAAAGAAAACGAAGGCAAGTCTTGCTTTCCATCTCGAATTCACTTCTCTTACTTTTTCGAAGATTTCAATGTTAATCCCGCGTTCTCAAGCCACTCCATTTTGAAAGAATTTGGCTTGGATAGGTTAAGCCTAAAAACTTGTCATAAGCGCGGATGTTTGGATGAGACGCGAAACGTGTTCGTCCGAGGCGCTCTGCTACGCTGTGCTTGTCTTTCAGTTTTCCTAACACTGCTGGCAGCAATTCGCCCAGCTTTTCGTATGAGTTATTTATTTCACACAAGTAGTACATAATATTATATATAGCGAAATCAAACAATGAAATTTCACCAATCGTGTCTTCAAAGCATTTTACCCTGGAACTGAAATGCCAAATATAAAAGAATGGCTCTAACTGCAACGAAAACATCTATTCTACCACAGGTCTCCCAGTTTGCACATTCCAGATTTGATGATGAAATAAGTCAGCATAAAGAAACCGATTTATCAGAACAGAAGTTCAAGCTTTCAAATTTAGCGCATAAGCCTGTGCATAGCCGTGTGTTCACGTACAATCTCACTTCCTTAACTCGAAGTAAATGTCCTGTATTGTGAGATGGCACCTACTAAGTCACGCTCGTGTTCGGCCACCTTAAGAATAGTACAAAACACCAGCATCTTCCCAGTCAATATCAAGCTCGTTAACGCAATGTATTTACCGTCATGAATAAACGAACCCAGCGATAAACGATTAGAATTACCTGAAAAGTGAATTCTCACGACACGTTCTTCTGCAAAAAACCATCGTGTAAGTCTTCCAAAAAACAAATTTATCATCAGGAAAATGTCAAATGCGATATGGATTCACGCACTCAAAAGGTCCTAAATCGAATCAAAAGAACGTACATTATACAAATAAAGACATCCCTGCTTTCCTCCAGCAAACAGTGCCTTATCATGGGAAAAAGCAAAACAATCCATGCTATTGAGAAAAGTTTTTGCACTGAAAGAAATTCCATGCCAAACCATAACCCCATCCAACAGCTGCCTGGCCCAGTTTTAAAATCTGCACGGGTTAGTTGAGGGGGATTGCGAAGACAGGAATAAAGAAGTTCAGGACAACCGGCAACAATATATTTATCTCGTTTAAGAACGAAGCAGATATCCTCAAGATTCTTCTTTTCCCTTTGACCAAACGTTAGCCTGCCTAAAGATATCTCTAAGTCTTCAATAAGAGAGTAAATTCCGATTCTATTGCTTCGTATTCGCTGTTCAAGAAACCGATAGTTTGTCAAAGCATTGAATACGATCTCAAAACTCTTAGAATCTTCACAGATTAGGAAGCGAAGACCAAAACACGAAATATAATTTATTATATCCAGCTTGTAATTGCACAAATTGTCCATCGTTCCTGTGTAAAATGACTTAAGAATTCGACAACAATACTTTTGAATAATTTTCCTGCCTTGCATCGGTCAATAAACAGCATTCGAGAGGCCGTTTCCTTATCAATTAACCAGGCCGGGATCAAACTGTGGAGAAATGCAAAGGTTTTATCTGAGGTTCGCAATGCAACAAAATGTGAGAGAGCATCAATTACTTCCTGCGTTTGAGGATCGGAATCTTCTCTTTTTAAAAGAAACGAAATGAATGAAATGGGAAGTGGAGAAGGCGCCACCAAAGCACAACCAAACAATTTCCAATAAACATCTCCACCTAATTTTTCGTAAACACGTTTAAAATTCTTGTAAAAGAAATCGTTGATATTTCCAGGGAAAAGGTCACTACCCAATTGTTTCGTGTTTTTAAGAATTTCCACAAGGTAAAAAGCGTACAAAAACATTCCATCGCATTTTTCCGTTAGCTCTTCAGCAGAGTACGACAGCCCCGTGAACTTCACATTTTTCTCAAAAAAGCGTTGAATATCCTGTTTATGCTGCTGATAAAAGCCTGCGCTGTCGCTATTTCCTGCACAAATCCTAATACACGGGTTGTACGTTTTCAGTCTAAACTGCAAGGAGTCTTCCGGACGGCTAGTAATGAAGAAAACGAGCCATTCAGGAAGCATGGGAAAACGGTTCATTATGAGATCAAGAAAATCTTTTCTGGACGAATCTTCTGTCTCGTCTAGTGCATCAATCACAACAAGTTTTTTTGCAACACGACCGCATTTGCTTAATGGCTCTTCTAGCAATTTAGTAAACAGCTCGTGAACTCCTAGCTTAGCATTAGTCAACATATTTTGAATCCCGGATTCCCCTCCCACAACCCTATCATATTGACTATTACAATTACACAGTTGATAAGCGATAGTACCAAGCAGATACCTGGGATCACGACGTGTGCCATCGTAGTGACGACAAAAGTACGCTGCTGCCATGTTTCCATCCTTCTTTGCCCTCTGAGCAACGACAGCAGCCATGACACTTTGCCACTGCGGCATCACCCAAGCACATTCTGGAGTTATCAGAATCACTGAACCACTTGTTGAAATCTTCCAGGAACCAATGTCTTGTGTCTGGATCGTATCGTCTAGCAAAATATTCAATGTCAGAAGTACAGTCGGAGAAACCTAAAAATTTCAAAAATTTAAGTCACAATTCGGATTCCACATACGGAGGATAAAAAATGTCCGATTTTATCTTACGTAAGTTTTATATATGATAACTAATTGCAACATTTCAACAATACCGTAAGAACTATTCTGTTGTTGAATGGCTTCATGTCGGCCTGATGTAAATCAACTCTGGCTGAAATAGAACTCTGTTCTTTTTGGAGAAATTCTTGATTGGTTTTCAGTTGTTCTACTTTGTCAATTGTGGAACTTAGTTCATGTTGCATAGTATCCTGGTTAAGCTCCATATTTTTAACTCGTTTCTCGCAATTTTGTAAATTTTCGTGAGTATTTTCTAAAATTTCTTTCAAGTTGCACAGTTCTTCTTGACTCTCAAACGCCATCTTGTTCACGTCACTTGACAATTTAGTAACATGTTCTTGCATTACTTTAACTAGCTCCGAATCAATTGGAGCATTCATACACAATGCAACATCTGAAACAAGAAAAACTATAATTTAAAAACCATTCTGAGGCCAAGTTTCTTATCTAAAACTTTGCTTCTTTTATCATGCAATACGGAATAGTAAGAATATATACAACAAGTAAACATTCACATAATTCATAAAAACTTCATACCTTTGTCTTTCCAGTCATTAAGTTCCGCTAAAACTTTCGATTCATCTGCAGGAGATAAACCAACTTCTCTTAGCAGTTTTTCCATGTCGTCAAAACTCTTCGTGAAGTTGGACTCTTCCCACTCAGTAAAAACGCAATGTGCCCAAGTATTTCTACATTCTCTAGCAACATTTGCCGCATTTTGGAGAGCAGCAGAAAACACTGGAATTCTTCCAAGTAGAATAAGAACAGCGGATGCATCACAAGTTTCGTCGAACGCGCTGAGCTTAGCCATGTAATTCTGCAGAAGGAGCTTGGCAAATTCAACATGGGACGTAACTTTGTAGTCAAACTTGGAGTAATCAAACTTTTTATTGTGCGGGGCTTTTAACTTGGTATCATTCCCGTTGATGTTCTCGTATTTCATGGCATTACCAGTTGGATATTTCGGCGAGGGAAAGCTGCGTGTGGTCTGAACATGAATATTGTGGTTCAATTTAAGGTCGTTGTACTCCTTGAGAATTTCCTGCTCTAGAACAGGACGTATTGCAGGGACGACGACATGGTTGAGAGCTTTTCCAAAGACGCACCATCGTTTGTGGTCTTCTGTTAATGTGGTTAATTTTGACCTGGATGACAAAAATAATATTATGAGCGTGTTTTCACCGCGATTTCAGCGAATAATTGTTCACACATTAGCAGCAGGTCCGAAACTAGAAAATGTTTGGGGGGGATTGTGTTTGCTCATTTATTCAGTTCTTTCCGACGGATTTCTTCTGCAAGGCCAATAGCTTACAATTATTGTTGTAGTTGTAGTTTCGGTACCGATTATTTGGTTTAGTCTTCCCACTTGAATTTCCACAATGCAAGGAAATTTTCTTGCACTCGACAACCACGAGGGAGGGAGGGCCAGACCTGTCTTAATAGAATTTTTTTGCATTCTTTTAACGCTCGTTGTCCCTAGTGATTATGTCTTCAGTGTATTGAGAGAGAACAATTATCCACGAAACTTTTTAAATTATTGTCTAAAATCCCATGTCCCGACTATATGCGGCAATTCCTCAGGGGGTGATTTCTCAAAAACAGGTTTTGCTATATTTCCATACATTCAGGGAATTGCAGAACCAATCAGGAGGATCCTGAATAATTGTGGTATAAAAGTTGCCTTAAGACCCTTTCAGACACTGGGACATATTTTTGCGAAATCCAAGGATCGCGTAGCGACTAAACAGAAAACTCATGCTGTATACTCTATACCATGTGGTGATTGCGAGAAAGAATATCTAGGTGAAACAAAACGCCAGTTCGGCACACGTTTAAAAGAACATCAAAAAGGCGTTTCGAACTTAGACAATTCAAAATCAACCTTGGCGGAACACGTGTGTCAAACTAACCATAACATTGCGTGGAACGATTCAAAAGTCATTACCACTAATGATCGTTATGGACAAAGACGTTGTTTGGAAGCCTGGCATATTAATGCGAGTCTTTGTGCCCTAAATACAGGATGTATAAAAAAAACTGCAAATACCATAATTTGTATGCACAAGATTATACAGGGTGTTTAAAAAAAACGCAACCACTTAGATATGTAAGAACGTTATTAGAGCTCTAAAGCGCAATAGATAAGCACTGTAAAGAACTATATTGACATTTTCGGTTTGGTGTAGTAAAAGTGGAAGCATTCCAAGTGGAAGCTTCATGTTTTTTGAACGCACGTGGAACGTGTAGAAAAGAAAAGCCAGTGCTCGAACAATTCAGGCTTTTAAAGCGTTATTTTCATCTATAAATTTGTGTTTGTATATGTACAGGGTGTCTCAAAAAAAACGCAACCACTTAATATTCTAAAATTCATATTGTTCATAAGCTCAATAGATTTTATGCCCCTGGGATTTTAAAATGGCTTCTTATGGTACAGTTCAACTGCTAATAGTCAAATCAGCTAAACTAATAATGGTGCAGCTAACAACCGAACAACGAGTTTTTATTGTCGTGCACGATAACTTGAATGCTAACTGTCGACCTTGTAAAATAAATTGTAAATAACATTTACTCGTTAAATACTTTCAATTCAGCTCGTTGGTTTACGCACCCGACTTTGTTTACCGACGATTGTGCCGCTAGAATATGATTACAAGCTTTCTCGCATTCCAGGGGCCAAACGTCTTTTGTGTTGTAGAACAAAGACGATATCATGAATATTAAGTGGTTGCGTTTTTTTGATACACCCTGTACAGGGTGTATAAAAAAAAACGCAACCACTTAATATTCTAAAATTCATATTGTTTATAAGCTCAATAGATTTTATGCCCCTGGGCTTCTAATCGTACAGTTCAACTGCTAATGGTCAAATCAGCTTAACTAATAATGGTACAGCTAACAACCGAACAACGAGTTTTTATTGTCGTGCATGATAACTTGAATGCTAAATGTCGACCTTGTAAGATAAATTGTAAATAAAATTTCACTCGTTAAATACTTTCAATTCAGCTCGTTGGTTTACGCACCCGACTTTGTTTACCAACGATTGTGCCGCTAGAATATGATTACAAGCTTTCTCGCATTCCAGGGGCCAAACGTCTTTTGTGTTGTAGAACAAAGAGGATATTCATGAATATTAAGTGGTTGCGTTTTTTTTGATACACCCTGTATATTAATATTAAAAGTCTATAACAAGCACCTCTGGGAATTGAAAATGGCTCCTAATCCTTCATTTAAAATGCTAAAAGTCATTTTAGCTGAACTACGTACAGGGTGTCCCAAAAAAAACGAAAACTATTGAAACCACCCATAACAATGTAATTGTTAGAGTTTGAATGCCTAAGCACTCTGTTGGGACCCACAAATGTGTAAATGTTTGCCATAAGCATTTTTATGCATGCATATGATGCAATGAAAATGATATTTATTAACAATATTTAAATGTGCATCTCAATCACCATGACCTTCGACATGTCCCCTTTCTGTAGCAACACAAAGCATTTAGCATTTTACTGAGTTGCATTAAATCCCCACAGGCTAAAACTCATGCACACGGCATTCAAATTTTAACAATGAGTGATTTCAATAGTTTTCGTTTTTTTTGGGACACCCTGTATGGTGCAAACCAAAACAATATTAATATTCTTGCATATGTAAGGTTTGCGACACCGTTTAGAATTTCAATGACTGTGCAACTAATTACGCTTTTGGGATTTGAAAATACGTTTTCCAGGGTTATCAAAACAAGCACACAAAGTGAATTAAACTTATGAGTTCGATAACGAATGGCTCAGTTAAGAACAAAACTAAGAGAATTTCTTGTTTTAAACGTATACGAGCAAACTCAAGTTTATTGGAAAATTAAGCACATAACACAAGGGTATGCAAAACACAATGGTTAGGGAGCGTTAGTAAACATGATAACCCTGGGAAACGTATTTTAAAATCCCAGAAGCGTAATTAGTTTCACAGTCATTGAAATTCTATAAAAGTGCATAAAATTATGGTATTTGCAGTTTTTTTGATACACCCTGTAGGAATGACGGAAGCTATTTGCCAAAAGAATATTTACATCTGATTGATAGATGATGTCATTTTGAGAGTATATATAAGGAACTGAGTTTCAATATCAGATCACCCCTGATGAAGACACTAGACCGGAGCGTCGAAACGTTGGGTCGTGAAAGTTAATCTTTGTGTGGTGATTACTTTCATTTATTAAAACCAGAGTAGCGATAATTACGATTGATTATATACCTGCTTGCCGTGAGCTCATTAACTTCAATACAACCATGCTTTGGTTATGAAATAAAATATTTTGACATGAATAACCACGCTGTTTTAATGGTCAAATGCTTGTCCTATGTAAAGTTTCCAGCATGTTTGGCGCTCATATACAAACAAACATTAAACAACCGAAATAACCAAATAGGCTCCTCTTGCAAGTTTGACTATGGCGCCGCAGTTTATGGCGCCGACACAGACCGGACGCGATGCGGCAACGCGACGCGAATTTTCAGTTTTCAGAAGCATAGAAATTAAATTCTGGAAGCAAAATTTGGAATCTATTGACGCCAAAGCAGTCAAAATGTATTATGGTTATATAATATACAATAATATTATGATAGGTTAGAATTTATTTTATTTTGAAAAATAAAAAACGTTGAAAATTCGCGCCACGTTGCCGTTTCGCGTCCTGTCTGTGTGGGCCCTTTAAGCGGGAAGATTAAATTATGAGAGGAACCGCGCTGCCTTAATGGTCAAATGCTTGTCCTATGTAAAGTTGCAAACATGTTTCATGCTCATATACTGCTTTGGTTATCATGTCGAAAATATTTTGACATGGATAACCACGCTGTTTTAATGATCAAATGCTTGTCCTATGTAAAGTTTAAAGGGTGTTTGTCGCTCATATATACAAACATTAATTACTATCTTTCTTTCCAAAGTCAACGTTGAGGTTGGTCAAATAAAAATAATAACAATACTGCAAATACGAATTACCTTTTATGTGAATCAGTTTTCAATGTACTTGTCATTTTGTGGCTGTTTTTCGTAATATTTTTCGCCAGTAATTTTCAACCAATATATCCTTTAATAGTTAAAAGTTTCAATTGTTAGGGAAACGCAAAATTAAATTTCGCGATAAATTTCCGCGGATCAGCTTCAATCGACATGCTTGCATGCATAACAATAGGGAGTTTACGATCTACGACACGGTTACGTCGACGTCGCGAGTCAATTATTTGGCTATAAATAAGCTGCGAGAAATTAACCAAACTCCCAGAGAAATAATCATACAAACGTCTCAATTGCGCCAAGAACCTCCAACATGAAGCTGATATTGCAGTTGTATATAACCTGTAAAACAGCTATCACGTTGCCACTGCTTTCATGTCATCGAGAGGCCGTGAAAATGCCTCATTTGAAGGCGTCGTAAGAATGACAACGCTGTCATGGGACCACAAATTATGCCGTATACCTATTGTTTACTCGTGTGGAGTTTCTTTGTTTTGCAATCGCGTCTTCGAGCTTGCTGCGTCGTGACTCGTGAATCGTAAACTCCCTATTAAACCCCGGCGTCCATTATATTAAACGCCTGTTTATGCTGTCAAATATTTTAAAATATGTAAGCTTACCATTTTGGAAAAAAGCATATGATCAAAAGCAGTTAATTAAAGCACGATCATTAAGACCTTTCTCTTAACTGTTTTCCAGAAAATACCCGAGAAAAAATCAACTCATATATTGCTTTTTATAAATCACGTAGTAAGATTTTTTATAAGTCGTCGAAAGAAAATCAAGACTTTGATTACCAACACGCCAGGATTTCGCAATCATGGAATTATATAAGATTATAATGTATAATGATAGCAAGTAGCTAACTCTGCTGAAATGCCATTATTGGGGAACCTGTTCAGGGTAAGACAAAATTGATATGAAAAATTTTTTCATAAAAGAACCGAGTTTCTCGGAACATCAATTACCATAAAAGTTCATAATGCCAGGATTTCGCAATCAAAGATAGCTGCCTTGTTATTATAGAATTATGTAAGGCACAAGACAAAATTTGAAACTAAAGCAACTTCTGTCTTACATATTGCAGTTGCAGAGCTTGATTTAAGACGGGCAGAAATTCAGTACTGTTATGACAATTTTTTCATATTTCTTTATTACCTTTAACAGGTTCCTCAGTAATGTCATTTCAGCAACTAACCATTATATATACTTGCAATATAATGGTTACTTGCTAAAATGAAACTACCGAATAGACATTTACGGGTATGCGCTATATCTAATATCTCGGCACGATATATCGCAGTATAACATCCAATCCGCTATATAAACTTGTGTATACAGTGCTATATATAATTATCAATTATTGGACGAGGTCGAGCAAAATATCGTGATTTGTCGGTGGCGAGCAGATCAATTATTTGCCGATGCCGAAGGCAGAGGCAAATAATTGATCTGCGAGCCACCGACAAATCACGATATTTTGCGAGAACCGAGTTCAATAATTGTTTTATCATTCACCACTAAATTTTCAATTCATTCACCACTCAATTTTCAATTTTGAGTTCGTTTTATCGGACAGTTCGGCAAAGCGAGTCGCCATTGTTTATAAAATTGACATTAATGCGCATGCTCAGAGTATTATTTGCAGCTGAGTATTATTTGCACGCAGTTAACTGCAGGTAAATTAACCAATCAAAATTGAGAATACTATAAAGTGAATGATAATTCTATATAACAGACAGCTAAATTGATTAAATTTATCTATCGTTGAAAATTTGCCATAAATCCATATTGCATCAACTTGCAACTAAAAATTCAGCTTTAAACGACGTTGTTTTAGGAGACGTCGACAAGAAAAATTGTTTGAGTTACCGAGGTTTCGAGTTACCGGGGTTTCGAGTTAACCAGGCTTAATGTCAAGTTACGTTTATATTTACTACATTGGATCGCCGAAGTTATTGCGTTTATTTGCTAAAAAATCCTGCTTTATATAATAATGAATTACTGATTAAAGCAGCGACACCATAAAAGTTAACTGGACATTAAAGTTAACTGAAGTTAATACGTAGAGATGTTACAAAAATAACTAAAAAAGCTTGATCAACAACGACCGTGCCACCACAGATAATCTTTTAAAATTTGAAATAAATTATACATTTATACACCGATTATTTGACTTATTTCGATAATTTCCAGTTGTCAAAATGCTGTTTTCTCATTCGAAACCAAAGTTCGAGAAGTTAAGCGGGGACTACTGTATACATGTATACCAGCTTTTAATATATAAACCGTCAAACACGCTAACGCATCTTTTATTGCCAGTCTACTATATAACAGCGGTGAAAACCACATCTATGATTTGATCTATACCATCATCCTGACGGCAGAGTTTTGAACTTGCCTTGAGCATCGATTAACAAAGATATATATATTAATAAAAGTTGGTATTACCTGCACTGGTAAAAATATCACCTCGAATCTGCCGAGCAAACTTCTCGCAGTTATAAGGCTTAGTAAATTCCTCTAAAATGCCGGTGTTTTAAACTTTTATTGTCATTGAACCACTGATTGAACACTTTCGAATTGAAAGGACTCACTTTTAACCCATTTATGCCGACCAAATGAAAAGCGTTGATTGCGTGGTTACTTCGGGAGACGCGAAGTAGTGCAAGGAATGTCCAGCGCGGCGCGTAGGTTGGGTACGAGGTTGGTTCGAGAACTCCTTTCATTGTTCTATTTACGCGCGTGTATGCCGTGTGTAATTCAAAATAATCAAACGAAAAATTATGGGTGAACAACACGAGTTTCGTACGACATCGCTGTTTCACCAATTTAAGCGAGGAATATATCTTCTTGAATAGAAGTAGCGTTAAATGCCAAGCGTACGTCGTCAACGTACGTCGGTTAGATTAAAATGTCTGCCGTATTTACTATCCGTGAGGCAGATTTTGATGATCTTGATGATGAGGTGAGGAAACATCGATGCTATTGACATTACATTTTTCAGTTTACGCCTAATTTTATAACACCACACAGTCCACACTGACACTGTAAAATATTGAATTAAGTTATTTTCACTCGAACAATAACGCGAAACAGTTAACACAGTTTAAATTCATTCGATGCTGAATTATAAATACTTCTGAGTGCTATTTTCTTACAGTCATCCGCCTATGAGCCCAAATTGATAATCTAAAAGTTGTTGTTTGGAAACGTTTAGAGCTTAAACAAAAAAGTGTGCCTGAAAATAAAGGCCCATTTTCACTACACTGAATTTACAGGCAGAAAATAGCTATATTGTGTCTGTGCTCAGGCTACTAATACATACTGTAGGTTGAGCACAGATTAAATTGGTATGGGTGTTGTAGAAATAAATTTACTGGAGGAGGGGGCTCTTGATGAGAGTGAAACAGCCTCCAATTAAAGCACCCCTTCCCACTTTTACAGCACTATTGTTACCCCACTTTAGCTTTGCCAAATTACCGATAAATTGAGTGTAGTGTATGAATATTCTTATGTATAAGATGTCTCGTGTATATGAATATGTTGTTTGGTTCACTGAATACTAGAGAGTGCGCAATACCATATAGAATGAGCAGATATAGTATAATGCTTACCAAAAATCAATTGTGTAGGAATTTTCAGGTGGTAGACAAATAACGAAATGAGTAAGCTTAAGTAGTTTGGTTGAAATTAGCATGGGTGCATGGGTAGACATTCAAACAATGCATGCATTCCCCATTTTTGTATGATGTTATCGGCCTGAAACATTCTTTTGTGGTGACATGCGGAACCTAATTTTGTTTGTTTAATTCTGTTTTAACAAATTGGCCTTATCCTTTTTTCTAAAATGCAAAGTTTTAAAGCTGATGCACACCAGAATCTACTTTGGTTTGTTTTGTTCATTTAACATCCAGCCTTCCGTTAAAATTAACAGATGTTCAGTTCGTAGATTCATGCAACCCTGTCCTAGGTATGCAAGGTGCATAATTAAAACCCCTTTTTTCGTTCATTTTGCTGTAACCCAGCCATTATTAACCGATGATGTGCTTACTTTTATTAATGCTGTTTATAAAGGTATGAGGAACTGGAAATTAAATTTGTACATTACAGTATAAAAGCAGACAAAATTATTTCAAGATCTGTCATGCATACAAAGATAATATGTACAGTATAGAGGCAGTCTATGGTGCATGGAATTTGTGTAACCTCCTTAGTATTTGGAATATTAATTAATCCATAATAATTGCGATACAGTACACTCATGTTTTGGAGAGAAGATGGAAGTTCATTCAACATGAATACAGTCACTGATAATTAAAAGGCCAGTTGTGTAACAGGGCATTCAATTGGTAACAAATTGTTCGTATAAGCCATCCTTAGTGACAGGCTTGACCATACAGAGTTTTATAGTTTGGGATAACTTTGTTTAAGACATTGCCAAAAGAGTTTTCTCAAAGTGCATATGACATGATTACCACTTTTTCACCAACGATTCGAATGATATATATCATTTCCCGATCGGATAAATATTTCTAAAGATATTTTGGATCAAACATGCCAAAATTGAGTTTTTTCAAAAGTTGGTCGGGAAAAAAGAGTCTGAAAACTAATTAGGATTTTGACGTCATACCGGGCAGACGAGAAAATCGACTAGTGTCACATTACAATAAATATATGTCGTATGCATCAAAATTTGTTTACTTTGCGCAAATGCATAAAATCAAATGTATAATGGAGATTTGCGCCTAGCCTCCGAGGCAAATACATTTCATTGCTTTTGTGTATCATATCACTATACTGTATAGTGTATAATATTTCTATTAAATCAACTAATGGTAATTAAAGCACTGTCTACATTCATGCACCCTGGGTGTATGATAAGTTGTAATTATCTTTTGATGAATTCATATAAGGAGTGACAATCGAAAACGGAGGTTTTCAAAAACGCTGTCCAGAGTGGAGTTTTTCGAAAACGCCGTTTTTGCGAAAACAAAGGTTTTCGAATTCGATGATGTTGATAATCGGACCCAGTCTATAACGGGCTATTAACGGCGCTTCCTTTGATTTATTCATTTCAATTCAAGAAACAGCGAGCATAAAGCGAATCCAAAGCAAATACGCGGAATTGTTTTTAAATCCCGCCAAATTAACATAGTTGTTATCTAGGCGCGCATCGAGCCCTGCGATCATTTGGAACCGCTCATATTACTTGGAAATGCGCATGCCTTATGCCTGGCGCTATCAAATTTCCTTCGTTTTAGTGTTAACGCGTGGAAGGGCAAAAACGATTCAAATACGCTTTGTGTGGACGCGAATTTTTTTAAAAACGGAGAAAAAACCTCCGTTTTTAAAAATATCCAGATACGTGTGGACAGGGTCTTTGTATCTCAAAAATATAATATTTATGAGTGTCTCGTAAACATTATATTTTGGAGATACTACATAAGAAGGGAAGGTTATTATACATATACAAATGGACCAGGTGTGTTGCTAGCTGAAGTCTGTACTACACCTGCTTTCTTCTTTCACCTAGGAATTTTTGAATGAAGCATTAAATTTCGAATCTGAACAGCTCACAAAAGGCGTTCCCTGCCAAAATATCTCTGACTACAATGGACCTGGTAAAATGAACGAGTGTCACAGCAAGCAAAATATTTTACGCAGCAAAGGCTCCTCAGTCAACTCGTTCCCTAATTCTGGCAAATCTAGTTCGAGTCTGCGATCATCTTCAAGTATTTTTTACACGTCCAGCAACCAACCTGGATGCTCAAAGCGCACACCTGGTGATTTTGATGATCAGCTGTCAGCGGAACCTCCCATGAAGAGGCTAAACTGTGTGGAAGAGAAACAGAGTTGCACTTTGGGAAAGGATCAGTCTTTATTATCTCTGACTGCAGCAATCACGACGAGGAAAGCAAGTGAATACATGACTGGTGTTTCGGCAGAACCGAAAGTGTCAGTGAATGTCAAGGATAGCCGGAATTTCAATTTCAATCCTGTTATTAGTTTCAGTACTACTAGTAATATATCGGATGGTCTGAGGTACGTGCAGAATACTACTTCGGCAGTTTCGTCACCAAGATTGACAGACGGTAGACCGGAGAACTTAATTGGAGCACAATCAGCACAAACTTCAAATATACGAAGCAAATACAACGATAAAGACTCGTCTAGAGGCGTTTTACGGGAAACATTGTCTCAGACTTCAGTTTCTAAACAGACTTTAGAATGTAACAGATTTAGCAAGGATTGTTTAAGGCGGTCGTGCCTATCTGAAATCCTGAGTGATACGCATACCAACTCCACTCTTCCAGTTACGCCAACAACACATTTTACTTTAAAGAACTCATCACGAGGTACAAAAACACCTTCGGTTGATATACACACACCGAAACGAAAAGGTTTTGCCAGAGAATCACCAGTTCTGACTTATTTAAGAACGTTTACAGACGAGAAACGATGCTCTACTCCGAGAAGATTTCCTGGTCCAGCTGGAATACTACCCCCGAAAATGGTAAATTCCGTAATTCTTGTCGTATATATATATATATATATATACATACATATATATATATATATATATATATATATATATATATATATATATATATATATATATATATTACAAACCTTAAAACCATATCTATGCCGGCATTTACTAAACAGTCAATTGATTAATCTTTTTTCCTCGGTGCATAAATTACAAACTTTTATTTCTGGGCATGCGGCGGGAACTTTCTTCATCACTGACCATTTTATCCCAAATGGTTTATCTTGCGACTTGAGCCCCCAAACATACTTCGAAAGCTCCGTTTCTCTAGAGTAGCGTTCGTGGTTGAAAGACTTTAAGTGGTTGCTAGCTGTATCTGAGTTTGAAGCTACCTGCATGTCATACCAATATAATGCTTGACAACTTCTTCATTATATGAGCTAACTTCCGCTTTGTACACAATGCTTTTCACGGGACAATTACCGTTCATTGGGCATTCCTCCTTAACTCTGCAGTTGCATGATTTCAAAGAACATTGGGGGTTGTTTTGATGTTTAAGGATTCTATGATTGTGGTTGGAGATTGAGGTTTTAACATTGTTCATACATGAGTAACTCACTTTTACCGTGTTCCGGTTGAAAATTTTATGGAGAGGCGATGACTTTGGGAAATGCTTATCAATTAAGCGAAAGAACCTTTGTGCTACATTTGGGATAAAATGGTCAGTCATTTTATCCATTTGGGATAAAATGGTCAGTGATGAAGCAAGTTTCCGCCGCATGCCCAGAATATATATATATATATATATATATATATATATATATATATATATATATATATATATATATATATATACACCCATTTGCAAAAACGTTGGCCGCAGATAGATAGATAGATAGATAGATAGTCGAAGTCTAATTAGAAATGCATATGACTAGATTTGCATGGGATTTCAATCATATTACACAACATATGCAATTCTAATTAGATTTCGAGTATCTATCTATCTATCTATCTATCTGCGGCCAACGTTTTTGCAAATGGGTGTATATATATATATATATATATATATATATATATATATATATATATATATATATATATATATATATATATATATATATATAGTACAATTATGTAATAGGACATCTTGCCCCTGTTAATTACTCCAATATAATGGATTGACATCATATTTGGTTTTTCCAGCCTTATCTTGGTTAGGCAGACATGCCTAACATGCCATGTCTAACATGCCATGTTATACAGTAATCACATCGTCGATTTGTAGAAACACCATGTGTATGTATTTTTTTTATATACGCAGAGCTCTCAGTCTGTTAACCTGGGCCTTCAATGATGCCTTATCAGCTCTGCATATAAGAAATACACGCGGTGTTTCTTACAATTACTGATTTAACTAATAATTATATATACCCATTCAAAATTGAATGAATATCATTATTGGATATAGCTACACTACAGTATTTTCCATTTTACGCACGGCACGGTTACGGTCGTGTAAAAAGCAGGCTTCTTGAGAAGCAATCGTCTAATGCCATCATCATCATTGAATATTACTGTGTGCACGTTGAAGCTGTCTCTGTCGAAATGCAGCTCATCACAGACGTGAAATTCGAACTCTGCATGTCGGGTTTTTCCCATGCCATTATTTCATTTCTACATGCTGCATGATTTTGGTGTTTCTGTCAAACCATCGATTCTTACATTTGTGTAGGATCCAGATCAAACCTTGGACAGTATTCGAAGTCTGTCGTCAACTGAATCTCCCACGAAGATAACACCTCGGCTTTTTGAACTGGTAAGGCGCGAAATTATTTGAACCTTTCTTCCGTAAACGATCGACCATAAACGAAAAGGGCGAATGAAAAGAAAGATTTCATAAAGCCTGCATCACAGCACACTTCTATATATACTGGTTCGTTTATGATTGAACTAGCAATAGTTGTTATACGTGGCATGTATATGCACCAGTCATTTGTACATCTGATTCACCACCGTGAATCACGTATTCATGATTTGCAGGGTTCATGTGATGAAGTAGATGACTTTGCAATAAAACCGTGGACTTTGATGCAAGAGAAAGTTGCAAAAGGTAATTATATAATAACAATAAAAGTAATCATTTTAAGATGTAGCTACATGGAAGTAAAACAGAAGTAAAATCAACCCATCTTACCTGCATGGTTATCTGCAATATGCCGTGAAGATCACTGAAATTTCCTGTTGTGGTCAATATTTCCAGGGGTATTTCCTATACCCAAGTCTACAGAATTATTCAGCTGTCCGCCATCTTGTCTTATAATTAGATCTAATTAAATGACGTCACCAGCTGGGGAAATATTTTTATAATCTCTTAAAACACACAGTCTCTGCGTACAGTGAAATGCTGCCATATGTTTAGGTCGCGAGACATTGTCGATGAGGATTTCGAGTCATATAAGACACCAAGAAATGCTCAATAAAATCATGCTTATACAGATCAAGCAAATTTGAAATATAATTTTGCAGTATATAATCATGGTAGTTAAAAGACTATTGATTAATATTTTATTATCTATGATATAATCAACGTCTCTTTTATTAACAATTACTCGCCAAAGCTAGGCGAGGTAAATTTCGCTGGATAAAAACCGAGACGAAGTCGAGGTCACTAAGCCTGAGGTAAAAAGCGTTTTAGTATGACTTTTGATTTTTATGTATAAAAGGTTATTTTTTGCAAAATCAGTTGTAAAAATTACATGTTTTACAAACGTGAACAAATATTTCCACAGTTTTACGGGGACTTAAATAAAGCAATGTTTTTGCAAAATTAAGTTAAAAAGCATTCCGGCTAACACGTCTTTTTTTGCCTCGAAATAATTTTAGGCATCTTTTTTCACTTCTTTTGTGTTTCAGGTACAGTTTCTTCGTTAAAATTATTTATAACTTATTTCTTCATCTGTCACTTTGACAAAAACAACTTCCTGCTATTTTGAAAAATCCGCTCACTATATATGTGGTTATCGCGTAGTAATTCGAGGTCGCTCGACCAATCGGAGGCCAGAATTTTCAATAATTATTTATAATTCTACTAAAATCAGATAAAGTAGGATTTTTACAGGTTCGTCTCGTAACGGTATTTTTATTATTTTATAGATTTTCCGGATGCGTGCGATACACTTGCGTCTGTAGTAAGGAAGGTCATTGTTTATCATATCTTATATTTACGCTAGCTCTTACCCAAAGCTGATGAAATCTAAATTGAATTAGTACGAACTCGCTGTTTCTGTTGATTAACAAAGTTACACTCGCGCTCTCGATTTTAGGATTTCGCCCTTCGTGGCTATAATCTTCAACTGACTTTCACCCTTGAATTATTTTTATCTATTTTTTGTTTTATGCATGTCACTTCACTTGTTTCCAACAGTATGATGTAACACGAAGTTTAATTGGCTCGATAGTTTTGTGGAACCAATCAAATTTCATGTAACAACATATTTTCCGCGTTATTTCGACGTCATTATAAGAAAGGTCTATAACTGAGTTATCATTCCCGCGGGATCTGCAGGTATCTGCATGCATGTGCTCTTGAGGCAATTTATTGGGTGAGCTAGCTCTTTGATAACCAGCTTCATTGCTTTATAGGAACATTTTTGCCATAATCTTTCTAGTTAAACCGACTTCCACTATAGGAGGATTTCTAAGGAACCAGTGCATATCCCTAGAATTATTGAGACTACTATTTGCCCCCTTGTTTTTGAGTTCTCGCCCAGCATTATATTTAGAAGCATTTTATTAAAAAGGAACGTTTACCCCATTTAGGCTGGATCACAGGAACTTCATAGGGGGAAAGTGGCATTTTTAGCTGTGTTAGTTAAATCGTTCAACCCAAATGGTTTGGATTTTAGTATTGTATTAAAAGATCCTTCAGGTATGGCAATTTCTTTTCCTACAAAAAATGAATTTATTAGATTGTATAAAGTGAATTTTTAGAGTAAACAGCGATTTTACTACTGTTTATACAGGGTGTATAAAAAAAAAGTAGACAATTTTGAAATGTTAAGAAAACTATAAATTTATCAAAATATCTCATAGATTTATGCTAGTATGGGTACTTTACCATCTTCAGGTCATTCTAACACTAAAAACAAACAGAAAAATTAACCTCGAAAAATGGAAGAGCGGTTTGTGGAAGCATCATTTTGAATGGCTTGTGCAAACATGAATGAGAAGTTTAAAATCCAATTTGAATTCAAGGGCTGAACGTTTGGGTAATTGTTTACAAAGAATCGAAATTTCAGAAATTTTGATGAAAATTAAGTCAGCCGCGCAACTGCGTAAATGTGGGCTTTTTTCCGTTTCAAGTCACATGGTCTGAAAAGGTTAAGTTAATAAGTTTCATTGGCATTCCATGGGCATGGTCACAACATCTGAAATGGATTGATTTTAATTCATGCAAGCTGAAAACGTCTATTGCACGCGTAGTTTAATACTTTTCTAACAATATCATTATCTAAACTCTATATAACAATAGCATTGTCTAAACTTTATATAACAATAGCATTCGCGTCATTATATAGGGATAAGCAGGCATGAATAATTATTATTGTATAGGTGAAATGCACGGAGTGGTGCATAAGAAGGTTATCGAGAAAGTTGAACTTGGACCTGGATGCGGTTTCATACTCAAGCAGGTACTTGCAGTGCATAGTAAACGTCGAGTGTTCCTGGCATCTTAAGCCCCGATTTCAAGTTTGGTACTGATGAAGATACCAATTCGTAGACGGATACGAATTGGTATACGGATAACATTTGACTATAGTTACTTAGTCATCAAAATTTCTTGCGTATCAATTTTTCCAATGCCGTACCAAAAATTGCAAGTTAGTGTAAATGGGTTTTGGTATTCTAACCATCGAGCTAGTGAATGCGGTCTAAGACACGTACTCATGCAAGTTTGCCGATGGCCGGCTCTGATTTGTTGGTAAGAGTTCTGCACCTGAGGCCGGTTCAAGCCCGTTTAGTTTAAACGGTGGTTAAGTTCAAAATAGAAAACAAGTCTATCGTTTTATTCAAGGAGCAAATTAAATGTTTTAACCTTAATACAAAGATACAGTTTACAACTACATATTCATTGCATAATTTTCAAGTTAATGATCAACTTAATTATTCGTTTACATCTATCAAAAGAGGAAAGTCGAAGCAAAAATGCCACGGGCCTCACAAACTGTTTTGTGATTTTTAAAATGACGAATTTCATCGAACTGTATGTCATCTTGTTTGTTTGAAATATTGCTAATGTTTCTCTGCTGCATGCCCCAATGTCTATCCTTGATCCTTATTAATATTATATTAACTAATTGCATCCTACTTATATAGGTTTCTGTTTTTAGTCCATCACCACGAAAACATTATTTAAACATCACCCCAAGAAATATTGTCGAGGTTTTTCCAGCTGTCGCAGATCCATCCAGCAAGGAGTCGGTGAGATTGCTCTTTAATCCCTCGTTCAAGTATAGCATGCACCATACTACTCATTGCGTAAAGTTTTGTACTCAGCTATATACATTTACGTAAGAATTAAATACTGCTAATTCATGCAATTTATACAAATTTGTACAAATTCAATTCCTACAAATAATGATTCGTACAAATTCGGCTGGTGATTTGAGCATACAAGCAGTAGCTATTTTTTTTCTGAATTTAGGGTTCAGATGTTACAACGTTGCGTGAATCAAAACAGTGTGACACGTAAGTTACCAAAGCTCGATGCTTAGGATTTATTTGCACTTACATTTCGTGAGCTAAACCACACTTCAGTTGACCTTTATAGCCAACTATTCAGGGATAGGGTCCGGTTGTTCGAAAGCCGTTTAGCGGCGGTGCATAGTTAAAACGTTTAAAAATACTCCCATGCATGCATCTTCTGCATTAAACATGTACTTCCATTAAAACTATTTACATCAAAATATTTCAGCTCAGTTGTTTAATAAATAGATCATTTTGTTTTCCATTTTGAACTTATCCGTCGTTTAAGCTGAACGCCCTTCGAACAACCGACCCCTACTAAATGGATGCCTTTTTTTAAGGAAACCTACAGCCGTAAGCTTCTCTCCCGTCTTTTTTCACTTTAAACATTCCTTGGCGTTTTATTAAATCAAAATCCTAAATTGAGGAATTGCTTTCCATGCACGATTTTACATGCCTTTGAATAACTTGGAATTACCTTTTATTTTCTATTTTTTTATGATCGGTTTTTCTGCGCATGCAGTAATGTTTTCTATCGCATCTTTAAATAGACAGCCGATGTGTCTGGATTCAGGCAAAGAAATACATCAAGCCGAGACAGTTGAAGGTATAATATTGTTATTGACCACTGCTGACATTGCGAGAAGCACATTCTTGGGATGGAAGCAAGCTTTCGTGCAGCTGTGGTGCAGCTATGCCATTCAAGTTACATTCCTATAAAGAATGTGCATCCCGATTGAATAGCCCTATTTTCTCCCCCTCTTTGTCCAAAACCTATTCAAATGAACAGTGGAGTGGATTCTTCATATTTTCTAAACAGAATGACATGAAATGTGAAATTTTTCTTTTCTACTAGAATCAAATTTTGATGAACTCCTCGAAGGATTAGACGACGATGATGATATGCTCCAAGAGGCAATGAACTTATGAGAGACCACATACAGTCTTTACCTACCCGCGTCCCCGTGTAATTTTGTTTTAATTGATGCAATATTAAATTATGTTTGTTGTATTGATCAACAGATACTTATGTTTCTTGATGTACACTTTCTCTGTTCGTGGAAATGATGAGTATTTTTCTATCGAATGAACCTCTCTTTACCGAGTCTGAACTAAAAAGAACTGAAAACTCGAGGAAATCTTTTTCAAAATGGTTATAGAAACAGAGTTTACATAATTATAATGAGTGCCTATCTATTCATATTGGATTACAGAAGTTTGCCGTCTGGTCGTCCTCAAGCCGCATATAGATATACCGACCAGGCTGGTCCAGATAGCCCCATGTCCAATGTCCGGAAAAAAATCTGTCGATATTGACCCAAAAATTAATAAAGAGAAACATTATCTAAAGAATTAGAAGGTTCATTTTAAATTGCACCAAACTACGGGCAGTTTTTTGAGTTATTAAAACCCCCACTATCTCGCGGATAGCGCTATCCGACCTAGGGATATAGGAATAGCCGATATAGATGGCCGTATCATGTTTACACTAAATGTTAATGCGATTCTTTGGAAAATTACGATTTCATTGCACAAATGGATAAATAACGCATTCTTTATAATAAAGCGTAGCTGTCTAGCAGCAGCTGGGAAGTTTGTTGCGCAAGGCCATGCATAGGCCGGTTCAATCATTACTTCCCAGAGGTTTTGTGACGTTTAGTGCGCACAATCTCTATAACAATAATGATAATATCTGCCATACACCTCTCCCCCCCCCCCCACTACTTGTCAGGCAGATGATATTAATTGCTAAATTATTATTGTTGCACAGGCTGTTAAAAAAAGGAAACCACAATATAATTTACAAGCACAATAGTATAATAATGCTTCTAATTGTGTAGCTAACCATGTGAATATTTTTGAATATGGCTTTTTTTTTATACACCCAGTAGATCATTACAACGAATGGCCTTGCTATAAAGAAGCGCTATAATATATATATATATATATATATACCGGTTTGCAAAAACGTTGTCCGCAGATAGATATATAGATAGATACTCGAAATCTAATTAGAATTGCATATGTTGTGTAATATGATTGAAATCCCATGCAAATGTAATCATATGCAATTCTAATTAGACTTCTAGTATCGATATCGAGAGCTTGTCAGCTCAATAGGTGATTTAAAAATCACCTAAACGTGCTACACAAAATTTTTAACAAACACAATCAAAGTAAGCTATTCGTGTATGGGAAATGTTAAGAGTGATCTCGGCACACCGAAATGCAATTGCCAAATCAAGTCCGAATGTCCATTAAGGAAACTGCAACACCAGAAACATCGTGTACAAAGCTACAGTTACTACAGACGATGACAATGACGCTAAAGAGTACATCGGAATGACGACTACTTCTTTTAAAGAACGCAGAAACCATAAGAAGTCAATGAAAAACGAACTGTACGCAACTGAAACGGAAGAAAAGTGTGTGTGAAATGGTCAATCTTGAAACGAGCAATCCCAAGATCTCCTGGAGCTCCATGCACGATGTGGTTTATGCCTCGCGGAAAAACTGTGCATAATCGTGCAGATGAAAACAAATGTTTAAACAAGCGCTCTGAACTGTTTTCCAAATTATTCCCCTTTGCGAGACCATTTTGTGGATTATAACCCCGTCCATCTATCAGGATGCATGCATGGTATCACTCGATATATATATATATATATATATATATATATATATATATATATATATATATATATATTATATATATATATACAGTCGTTATCATTAAGGTTGTCTATGTCAATATATATACATATATATAAATATCAATCACGTGACCATGAAACATGGCTTATTTTATTCACTTACCTTTTGTTTCTTTATCATTATCAATATTGTTCAACTTACTATGACATTAAAGAAAATTTTAAGATAGATTTCCAACGATTTCCCATAAAATTAACGTATGCAGTACAATCACGTGATCGATATTTACGTATTTATATATATTTCCAGATGACAACCTTAATGATAACGACTGTATATATATATATATATATATATATATATATATATTATATAATATATATATATATATTATATATATATATATATACATTTATATATATATATATCTATATAGCATAAAATGTAGCATAACAACTTCCTAAATAGACAAAAACACTTCTCGACGTTTCGATCTATGTTTCGACCTGAGGGCCTTCGTCAGGAGAGTTAGTATGGATTAGCTACATATTATTATTAGCTACAGATTAGCTATATATGTATAACTCTCCTGACGAAGGCCCCCAGAGAAGTGTTTTTGTTATACCACATTTGATGCTAAGTTGTTTGAAGACGCTGCCACGCTGCTCCTAATATACATATATATATATATATATATATATATATATATTATATATATATATATTTATATATATATATATATATATATATATATATATATATATATATATATATATTTATTTATTTACTTATTTATTTAATCTTAAAACAGTATTAGCTGCTACTTAAAGTTTCATGCTTCTTGCAATTCTTGCCTCTTGAAACGTTAAGTAGCAGCTAATGCTGTTTTAAGATTAAATAAATAAATATCGCTCTACAAAAATTGTGTTGAGCACTCTTCAATCTACAACAGATAAAAAGCATTTGTTATATATATATATATATATATATATATATATATATATATATATATATATATATATATTTATATATAACCTCCATGTTTGGATTGGCCGAAGGTTATGTCATATATCTGTAATAAGGACCTTAATTAGCATCTTCCCTTCATGTTTGTGGTAAAATGGTAATTCTGCCAGGCCACAGACATAGAGATATGGCTTTTCGCCAAATCGCCATGATCTTTATATCTTGCAAAGGATTAAACACGTGTATAAAACGTATGGGCTGTGACGTATTTGCGGACAAAGTTTGTCCAACTGGGCGCATTAGCTAATCAGAAACATTTCTTTTCTGCAAACAACCTAATAACGCAGAATTATTCTTGAGGTGTATAGGTGTTATATATACTCCATATTTTTATGTCGATCACAGGGGGCGGTATTCTTTTGACTTGGACGTCGGCCTACATAACTCATGCTCGCCTCTCAACGAATTTTTTAGCTTTCACTACCACCTGCAATCTTCGACCGCTGTCATTATCGACATGACCGGAGTTTTCACACCAAATTACTTTCACAAAAATCACCTTTTCTTTTGTGCTATGGGGCAATCAGATGTTACAATAATTTATTTAAGATTTGTTATATATAACATTACACATTTTAAGTTTGCATGTGATAAATATGATATCATTGACATTTACAATTTCCATAATAAAAAATTCGACAGTAATAATTTCACGTTCAGTAAATCTTAAATACGGCAAATATAATCCTTGAGGTTAGAAATAGATCTTAGATTGGGTTTAAAGTTGATTAAACGTAATCCTAATTCTTAGCCTAACCTAATCTTAAGAATTGAGTTTGTGTATTAAGGATTTATTGAACATGGAATTATTACCAAGACGTCTACCTAGAAACCGAGGCGGTCTAAGGCCTCTCGTAAGCAAATATATGGGCAAACCTAAATTTAAAGTGTATAAAATTTAATGGGATACACCATTGTCTATTTTGTAGTTGATCACTATCGCTCCCAACAGTACTTGAAAAAAACGTATCAACACAGAATAGGAATTAACACCGGAAGGAAAACTCCAGCCAGTACAACTGATGTTTTTAGAAGGTTTTGTAGATAATTATGCATTATGGTTGTACGTATACTAGCAATACAGAGGTTAGTGAGTTTAAGATACACCAAATCTACGACGCGGACGTGTAGCAAAGTCATGCAGAACCGCGTATGTAAAACAAATTATTACTGGTTTCCTCACACTAAAGTAGCAATTTTCATGTCACGTCGGCGTCGTAGATTTGGTGTATCTTAAACTCGCTATCTTATAATTATACTATTTATGACGCCAGTGCTAGCAGTAACGGCGGCAGCTAGGAAACAAAACAGACTTAATCTAAGATCTCTTAACTTGTTTATAAACCTGACAAGTTCATTCTGTAATTTCTATTTCGAATTTTCTGTCGTGGCAATGCCTACAGTTTCTAATACATGATATTTTTGACTGACAAAGATTCTACTGAAATATTTTTCGGAATTCCAGTTCTCAGCGTTTGGTTTTGATCAGCCGTTGGCGTTTCGAGAAACGTACTGAGATTTTTTTCTTTGCTATTGTAGTTAAAACGGAGCATAGCTGAACTCTTCGGGAGGAGGACAAATGTGATAATCAAAAGTGATAGAAGATAAATTCGGCGCACACAACCTCAAAAGTTTTCCCCCAAAATTAAATCCTTGTGGCGCCGCTTATTATTTAGAAGGCGTAGGCAATCGGTAGCATATCTAATGGTCGGTGGCATCATTTAATAATACGTGTGCTTGATGATACAATCCATTTTTGCAGCTGTGCACTGGCAGCTTGTAACGCGTGACATGTTGAGTTGACGTCACATAGTGAATGAGACGTTTTCATGTTTCTCTCCGAGTGAGTCAGCCTTAAGGCTTTAGTACGTAGGAAAGTACACACTCTGACACAATATGTTAAATGATGATACCTAGCCTCCTCCGCAGGCATCTCTTATGTATTTATATTAGGCTTTTATATTTGCATGGCTTGGTATAAATGCCTAATATAAATACATAAGAGATGCCTGCGGAGAAGGCCAGATGATACCGTCAATTAATGGTTTAGGTAGTACAACGGCAACGGCAACGTGCTCATCTACAATGGCATTGATGATTGATCCTTTAGGACAAAACTTACGCCAATTTTACGGTGCATGCATGACAGTGCAGCAACAGTTAATGTATTCGATGTTGTTTGGAGTGTTAGAAACAATTTTGCTGATTGACCATATTTATAATAGTTAATAACTGTTTCAGAGAAAGAGGAAACTTGAAGAAGCAAATCGAGTCGATACTAACTCGTATTTTCTTTGAATTCCAACATATAAGGTGAATATATTTTGCCGTTGCGGTTGCCGTTGTATTTGTCTAATAACGCTGCAGTCTGCCCATCTATTCGTCATCCCTGTCGTCTGTGTCGTAGTAGCTATCGCTATCCTCTTCTTCACTACCTTCATCGGTCAATAGACTTCCCTGATCAACTTCAGATGGTATTTTGTGGTAATCTAACGCATCGCGTCCTGCATAACGTAGGACTAATTGAACAAGGATGAACAGCGAGAATACAGACGCTGTAGCCAATGAAAATGCCCGGAATGTAACATCACCGCCTACGTGATGAACTAGAAATCCGCCAACGATTGCGCCGGTACCAGTTCCCAGGCCCCAGTAGACACCTTGAAGAATGCCTTTAATAGAAAATAGGGCTTAATCGATCAAACACTATATTTTTGGGACAGAAAACAGAAACTATGTTAATATTGGGGAAAAGATTGATGATATATCGTCGTGTGCGATTATATAAAACTGACAATAATTGAAAGCTTTACAGTATTAAATACTTACGTGGTGTACCTAAAAGCTAATTTAGTTATATAAAAGGCTTGGCCCGCTCCTATACACACTGCTCAGTCAACACAGAGCTATACGATAAACATAAGTAATAATCATCGCAGTTAGACTGATGCTGTGTGAAATCAAAACTTTCTGAATCTTGTGCTGTACAAGTTGAAAAAAAGCATTTAAAAGATGATAGATTTTGTACCTTGAATGGTCGCGGGTGATTCCAACGGAGCCGAACTTGCGATGAACGACACGCACGCTGACCATGTCGCCGCGTAACTCCCGGCCTGTAAAATCTCAACAGGCAACGCGAACCATGGATTCTGCATGTAAGAATAGCCCAAGAAACATATAGCATATGAAAACAGCGTGCAGTTTAACACATTCGTGTAACCGATCTTCGTTATTACATATCCGGCCAAAGAGAACACCAGGACGTCGGTGAGGCTTTTTAAACCGCCAGCTATGCCCATGATAAGTGTGGTTGCGCCAAGGTCTTCGATATACCAATTAATGAAGTTGAGTAAGAACCCGTGACAGCAGCCGAGATAGAAAGCTACAAGGAGAAACACCGCGTAGCGGAATCGCATGAGAAACATTGCAGAGCGCCATGTCGGTTGCTCTTCTTCGTAGCTGAAGCGGAACTTCGTAGCGGTCAGGAAGGCAAAGATAGCAAAAGCGGCGAAAAAAATAAATAAGATGAAATAATCGCCGTGAGTGTCACCGCAAACGATTTGCCGAAAGCCGTGAATGAAGAAGCCCACGATAGGAACCGAAAAACCGTGTCCCACCGACCCCCACAATCGTATTCGGCCGTAATAGTGCTTCTTCTCCTTCAACACGCTCAAACACGATGCATCTGTGAGGGTCATCGTTGGCGACTCCAGGAACTCGCCGATTAGGATCAACAAAAGGAATATGACAAATAAATGCTGCATTTCAGTTTTGTCGTTGTGTCGTGTGTAAATGACCGTGAAATTTTTGTGTACTTCGACGATCGTTTTCCCCATCAAATTGCGAGATTTTCTGCGTTTCAAAATATCGGCTCTTTTCTCAGAGGCAGAGTCTTTACTGTGTCGCCTGCTGCCTAGCTTTGAAAATACAACATCTCTCGGCGTTCGTTTAATCTCTTTTGTACTCGGGACGTATGAATCACTACACATCATTTTATCCAATGTGCGTTTAGCCAAAGCGGTATTTTCGCATATATCACTTTGCGTGCCCTGTGCTGTCATGGGAAATAGGTGAAAGCCTCGCTTGAACTTGTCAGCGTTGTGTGAGATTGCTTCTACTGTTTTGATGTTGTGAGTTTTGTTGATATATGTGATTTCACAAGTTTGGTGGGTCGGCCGAAAACCCATAAAGAATAGCGTTTTAAACGTGAACGCGATCAAGCCTGCAAGCAAAATCGTCTTTCTGACTCGTAATTTATCTGCCAACATTCCCCAAAAAGGGGCACCTATCGACTGAAGTAAGGGTCTTGCACCCGTTAGTAGACCGACGTGGCTCGCTAGTAGACCTAGTTGCTTGAAGTACAGCGGTAGATACGCAATAATTATGCCAAAAGCACCGTAGAAAAAAAAATAGAACGTTTTATAAACTACGAGCTTTTTTCCGCCGAAGCAATCTTCCAGCCAATTATTGCTTGAATTCGTCTTGCCATTTTCTGATTTTTCTGGCAGTTGATCGTCTAGAGCTTGGGAGATTTTATCAGCCTTTGTCGGGGTAATATCACTTCTTTCCTTGCCCTTGGACATAGTTTTGTTTGTAGTCCGTTACTTCAATATTCCGCTGTTTAGATTTGTGTTTATATGTAGGAACCCTTGTTCGTGGCTTTGCTTATGTTTAAACTATTTCACTGTTTGAACAATACAGCTAAACCATACGAGATTTCTTAATATTTCGTGAGCAATTGGCTTAATTCTTATCACTATGCCTTGGCTTTTACTTTTGATTTGCTTCGTCGTATCGTCTATCGCATCGAGTTTTATTCAAACATTATACACTAGGTCAGTACATACTTCGGTTTGCTGCGCAGCTTCTATCAATTTTCTTCAGATTCTAGCTCTTTCTATCAAAAATTCCCTTTAAAATACAGTTTTCTTCCAGCCTTGCGAATTTCGCTTCACTATACTGATAATTTGTTATTATTTTGATGTAAGGCCGTTCCGCTTACCTTTGCCTTTGATTTGTTTGTACTTTAATTTCGTTTATTTTAAACTTTGATTTGCTGAACGAAGTAAATGTACTACTTTGCTTCGATTTCCTCTGCTTTCACGCTCCAATTCTTTCTGCTTTGACCTTTGTTTTGATTCGCGTTCGTCGGAATTATATCGTACTGTTTAGTTTGTTATTGGCTTTAACCGTTCTAACTACTTGACAAACTCGTGATTAAAGACGAGAGGCCGTGATATAGCGTGAGACGTGTTCCAACGCACCAAAAGCGAGCAAACTCGTCACCAATGACGGCAGGAAGGCATTCAATAATCATCCGTACAGAGACTGTTACAAATTAATGCGATAAATCTTTTTGAAAATCCACGTCGGCGTGGCAGATATTTGAAAAAACAAATTAGAATCCGTGGTAATTGCAACGAATATGCAAAATACGTACGCTCTGTATTTGTCTGATCAGCTGTCAGATAAACATTTACCTAGCGCTTTAAACGCCCTGTTTGATTTGTCTACGGCTTGTATCGACAACAGCCACTTCGAAACCGGGCACTGGAAGTGTTATCGGACTATGTGGATTGTCGGGTTGACCGCAACAAGCTTTTCATTCGTTATTTAAATAGGAAGTGGATTTAATAAGTTTTGAAATGCTTAATTTCGCTAAAGTAAAGTGCGCGCCCATGCAATTGCCATAAATATTCCATAATGATTTCATTTCATCCAACGTATATAATATGAGAGCGTAGGCTTGCATTACATTACGGACCGCCTGCATTGAAACATTGAGTGCTTCCTGCACCTGCGCAAAGTACAAAGTCCAACATAATTTTAGATTAAAATCAACAATTCACTCGCTTTGTTTTCGGCATGTTACGTGAGCTATAGAAAAATTGTTGAAGCATTTCGCTAAAACATCTGTGACAGCTTGCCAAACACAAATTTCGGTTATCTATGTGAAGAAAAAACTTTTCAGTTTTTAACTTCGACAGAACGTATAATCACGGATTTACACCTTTACTTTTCCTTTGCCTTTGGTCTGGGATAATCACAACTTGGATCAGAATTCTGAATTTTGTTTTTAATAATTATCTTTGTTTAGGGTGAGAACAGCCATCGTACATTATAGTACACAATCTCGAATGCGCTATTCATATGGATAGTGATCAATTGTCATGAAGATTTTTGGTATTCAAATTATCAATGAGTGCAATGATCTTAATTTTTGATCTACACGCAAGTTGCAGTCCAAGTAATTGCGTTGTTCTAATGAATTAATGGACGCGATTAGTCCAATCACACCTAATTTTAGATAAAAATTATGAGCAAAGTGCCAGTACAAGCAATTGAAGCAAAGCAGGATTATCCTTGATATAACGCGCGAAAAATATTGCTATTTCTAATTTTATTCCTGTTTATATTTTGTAGTTTTATAATTATTTATATACAAACTATCCAAAAAGTCCTCGTAATATAACGGCATCCGAATCAAGGGTTTTCTAAGAGATTCTAAGGAGCCAAATTGAAGAATAGAATGTGATACAGTTCGGAACAAAGTCCTAAAATGATAGTTTAAAAGTACCAATCCGTATCTCTTGCCATGTGTAGAAGTGACTTTCTGATTAGTTCCGAGCAGATAAGCTTTTCTCCATTTCGGGATTTTAAAGATGGCCGCCTAAAATTCCTAAACGGCAGAATCCACAAAGGCACAAACATTTGCAGTGTCTCCACAGCACGTGTGCATTTTCTTTTTTTTTGGCTTTAAAACGAGCCTAAGTTTGCTTACGTTGTATGTTGAGCAATAATATAAAATGTTCGTTTGTTAAAAAGAAATTATACATGTACTACAATAAATCATGTACTATACGCCACATAAATTCTGGACTCTTTTTCCGAAATGGCATGAGATAAAAACTAAACATACTTGCGGGCTCTTCATGTAAAACATTCTTTTGAAATAAAAAAATTAAGGCCGTGTAATTTATTCTGACCTCATTAAATTTCTCGTGTTCAAATTATCACCCAAATTAAGGCTGCTATGCCTCATGTTGTTTGCACCCCTAATAGCCTTTGCCCCCCCGCTCCCCCTCCACACACAATAGTTTTGTTAATCATACTGACCTCTCAATTTCACGCTCATACCAACATTGTTAAAAGGCGGGCTGGGGGGGGGTTAATATACTGAAAAATTCTCCGAACTAATTTTCATGAATGTATATTATGCATTAGCAAATCTCGCTAATTAAGGCCCGTTTCAAACGTCAAACTTTTCATATGCCGAATCGAACGCAAATGATCGTGCAGAATATGCGTATAATCTCAGAGCGAGGGGCATAACCTTTTAATGGAACCTATTGTGTCTTGTTGGCTTTCGCAGCAATGTTCTCAATGTGCTTAGAGCCTTAGACCACGATAAATTGCTAGAGACTGTGACACCAAGGTCCGGTAAGATTGTAAGATTTTTAAGTTTTCCATTTCTTTTTGGAGAAGTGCATAACCTTACATTTCTTCGTGTTGAAATTCATTTTCATATCAACGCTCCATGTCTGTAGGCTGTCAAGGTCTTGCTGGAGCGATGTACTAACGTCGGGGAGGTATAGAGATCTGTACAGTTTAGAACTTTAATACAGTTGAAGGTATTTCCTGTTAAAGTGTTCGAACTGAATAATTAAAGCCATAATTTTGTTTTAATAGCCCACTTAATAAGGTGGGAGTCTACCTGAAACTACTTAAAAAAAATCGATTGGTGGATTTTGGTGGAAATGGCTTCTCCGACATCTAAATAATCTCGTTAGATTATTTTTTGTGCTATATATCTTTACAATATTATAATTTATAATATATCTATACAACAACTTGATAAGTGAAATGAACGATAGAATTTGGTATAGGGTGTATTCCCTCCATTTAAGAGACGAAAAACTTGGGATGATGTTGTATGAAAACTTTTTGCAATATCCAAAAATCTATCGTTCATTTCAATCTATTTGCATTGTGATCCACAAAAAGCTCATTGGTGTAAAATTTAGTTGCATCCATGAAGAGTTATCTTTTCTGAAGTATAAAGAATGATCATCTTTGAAAGTACAGTATATTATAGTGAATATAGATGTAAATAGTTAAGGTATGGAAATAAAATTATTATATTTGAAATCCCTGTTTAATAAGCTTTCTGGTGATGTATAATTTTATGCAGTTAACAGCAATAGATGGCAATTAGCAATAAGCTTGCCAACCGGAACAGCTCGAAATCTCCATAGGAAGCGTTTTCGCGGCGTTTTTTTTTCGCAAACCAACCACATCACCGGATTTCAGATATTCGCGCCTAGTGGAAAACGGGCCTAAGACTTATAGCAGCCAGGTTTCTGCATGTGGAGGCATCGTTATGATGTTTTTGGGGTCCAGCATTTTCGACCATTGGGTTTTCTCAGAATATACGGAGGAAAATTGATCGTGTTAAATCGTGTGAACAGACGCATGAAAAGTTCGACGTCTGAAGCAGGCCTTAGTGCGTAAAGTCTTTTTTTTCCAGTAAAAGATGAAGCAGTTGAATGTACCATTCATTGATCCTTGTACCCCACATTCCAACAAGACTTGTGTCATTAAGGGAATATTCATTTTCACCTTTGAATTTATGTTTAGAAGTTCAATATAGACAAAGCTAGGCCTTTCTCTTATCGGGTGATAATATTCCGTTTCTACGACTTTTCTTCGCGATTGCAAACATAATTCATAGTTATATGTTGAACATAGTTTATGAACAGCATCCGAGGAATAAAAATAATGAGAAAAATAAGAACTCCATTGGTGGGAAATGATGAACATAAGCGATAACAGCAAGAATACTACCCTAACCCTAACCTAACTCTTCAACACTTTCGTATCTTCTTGATACGAAAGTGTTGAAGAGCAATAAATGTAGATATAGATGTAGATGGAGCATTGCTAGAGCTGTCAACAGTTTATTCTTTGCTTTCATATGTTCGATGAAAGAAAGGATAATATATCGCCAAATATCGGTCAAAATTCATTACCAAAAGCGCCAGTAAAGAAAAGGCTAGAAAACCACCAGATACGTCGATTAACGAAGGCGCCGTAAGCTTGCATTCGTATTCACAGATTTCATTACTGAGTATATTAAACGCCAGGCTTCAACCAGACCTAAGTATACATCTGTCGTTCTGTCCCGGAGGCATACTTCCAGAAAAATTAGGGGGATGTTTATGTTCCATGCAGGGCTGATTTTTGTGGTGTTAAATTTTATATTTGATTGGAAAAGCCAAGTTTTGTTAGGCGCTATAATTACAAGCAAAGGTCTGGCTATAAATTTTGGTTCAGCGGATGAATGTTCCCCGAGGAGTAGTGAACCAGTTCGGGGGAACCAGGAAAATGCTCCTTAGGTTTTTTTATATTTATAGCCTCAGGAAAACAAAATCCAGTTGAAATGCTATTTCTTCTTTGTGAGGCACTCTATTTTAGTGACCAAAAATTGCCGGTAACTGTAAGCTGATAAAAGTACAGCTTTGAGTTTACGTAAGTACCACCACATTTAAGGGGCGTATATTTCAAATTTCAATAATAGTGGGAAGTCTAAGTCCATCTTCGTAAATTGGTAATTTCAGGGGCTTATCAAAATCGCATTATTCCAGTGATCTATCGCCAAAGGTTCCTGCTCAGATTTCAACAAGCTTCACATCATTGGAAGTTGATATTTTCTTCCTTGCGCGGTTATCCCCATCCTGACCAAGTAGGAATTTTTTGTCTTTTGGGAAAAAGTAAAACTATAATTCAACAAAAATCAGTATCCCAAGAAGAATTAAGTTTTGCGCCCAGATATTCAAATCAGGTATGCAAAATTCAAGACTAAAAGAGCAGGCGTAGAAAAACGAATTAGGAGCATGCATGAATCATGATTAGAAAATGCATGAATCATGATTGGTCTTTAGAAACTCCCACGCTGTCGGGACATTTTCAAACCATAGATTTAGAGATTTTTCATATCTTCTTCATATTTACTTCATCCATGTGAATGTAGGGGATATGCCCATACCAATAATATTTTCAGACTTTGATGCAGCTCCTTGGGGATCAATTACCTCAATTTAATCCAAGAGTTGCATTGATAGCAGCTGGTCAAATAGTGCCTAAAGACACCCCTAGTTGTCAGGTCAATGTCAGATGTTGGAGATTAACAGTCAGAACGAATATCTATGATTATCTATCTATCTACAGTAACTGCTTTCACAGTTGAAAACACTCAAACAGTAAACAGGAATATAAAAAATATTTATTACTTACTATCATAACCACTTTGATGAATGTTATTTATCAATTTATAAAACAAGTAGTTCTTCTAAATTGCATACATCAGTACTATATATTCATAATATCTTATACCCTCTTCTTTGTCCACAACCACCTATCTTTACCAGTTTTTCCTTTTGGCCTTCTCCCAAGCCATCGGCTACGACCAGCTTTACCAATAATCTCATGTTTATGATCAATGTTTGATGCCCGGCCAATTGTTGCCAAACAATCAATGCTCACACTTTTTTCTTTTTTGGATGGAAGTTGGATAATAGCATGTTCCTCGGTTTTTCTAATCAACTGAACAGAAGTACCAGCAGCTCTTGCTAATTGCGCACCCTTTCCAGGTGTGAGTTCCACATTGTGAACAATTGTACCGATAGGCAATTTCCCAAGGGGGTATGCATCACCAGGTTGTATTCTTGAGATAGATGTTGGGCTGCTACGGGAAGCTGTTAATACATCTCCTACCTTGACCCCATCAGGAGCAATAACAAGTTTTTGTTTGTTACTGCCATTCCCAGCACATAATGCAATTCTAGCTGACCGACATGGGTCATATCCAATTTGCAAAATTTTGTCTTTTATCACCCTTGGTTCAGCAACTTCCTTTTCAAATGGTGCTCTTAGAAAGTCAATGATTCGATAGGTTTGTGGGTGGCCACCACCCCGGTGCCGGATTGTTATGCGACCAGTATTGTTACGCCCGGACCTACCATTTCCCCTACGGATGGTGCCATCCTTAAGATATTTAGGAATAGGCATGTTTGGTATACCTCGACGCTCCCTTATATATGAGTAAGCTGTTCTTCCAGAAGCAATGCAGGATGTCATGATATTTCTTAATCCTATTTGTGCATAAACAGATGAGTAAATTCCAGTAGGAAGGTTTTTGAAGAACTGAAACATGGCCTATATTGCTCTTTAGACAAAGAATAAATCACCAAAGACAGTTTAAAAATAAAATTGCATCAATGAAACATTTAAAAAGTACAAAGTATTGCACCAAGGTCATTGAAGCACCGATGTAAATTATGATCGTAGCATCTTCGTCAACCGGTCGTAAGTACTCGTAACGGACACGACTTCGTACGAGGAAGAACGAATAGCTAGACTAGAGTGGCAAAGGTTGTGATCCATCATCCATAGTTTGTAAGTAAAATTTATCAGTATTTCTCTTTCCTTTCATCCTTTTTCATATTTTATTATGGAAAAGTTACTGTTTTTAAATTTATGTGCTTTTTTATGCTGTTTTACAGCTGCGAATATTGGATCTTTGCTCGTGGTAAACAATGTGGCGTTCTGCTTTGTGTGTCAGATCATGGCCAGCACTGACCAATTCTGCTAGATGTCTGCCCAAAATAACGACAGGTAAGCCGAACAGGAACTATGACCATATCCAAAGGTCCTTTTTGCTTTTTTACTTAGTTTGTCGTGCTCTTGATGTTTTATTTTCGTGTAGAGGTCGTTACGAATGCAGTGAAATATGAACGAATTTGATTCATAGCATGCACTCATAGGGTCTAATTATTGCTCAGACTTTTCATCTGTTTTGCCAGTAGGATACGCATTAAACTTATACACCAAATTATGTTATTACCAACAGGTAGATTTGTGATTTGTTTTGGTCACTTGAGTGGTGCATTTGTAATCAACAGTATTGTTAGTTTGTTACTAACCAGTCAGACTGGAAGTGTGCAAATTATGCATCTGAGATTTCAGAATGTTTTTAAAATAGTAAAATCATAAAAATCATATATACAGCATTTCATCAAGTGGGTTTTAGTTGCTATAATTAATCAGGCTAATTATTAATAGTTAGTAAAGAGGAATCTTCATTCAAATTGTAGTAAAACCAAAACATTTTAAACCATCAAATAAAAACTTTTACATCAACTGTAATGGAGCTTCATTTGATTTATTATCTAGTGAAACAATACTGTGAAGCAGCGCCAGAAAAGATTGAAGTTTTTGTGGATGATCAGAAGGTGTTGGTGGATCCTGGTACTACTATACTTCAGGTAGGTTGCATTGGGCATAAATGGTAGGGTAGCTTCAACTTGGGCTTACTTTGACTTTGGTTGATAACTCTAGTTTGCTTGATAATAATATAAGTTTATTTACATAGTATAAATATATATTTTGGTTGATTGGTTCGTAATAAGTATATTTATATTTAACTTAATCACCAGCATTTAACTTAATAGTCTCCTATGCTTTTACAAATTAGTGAAGGTTTGCAATGGTATGATACTAATTATATGTAATGGTAATGATGATTTATAATACTTGACTTCATACTATATGTTCTGTCCTTTTTCTAATGATAACTAGGCATTAAATAGATAAATCCTCCCATTTTTTCATTGCAGATTACATTGTGTTTCACTAATGTACAATTCTGGTTTCAAAATTTTTATGCCCGCTGTACTGTACACTGTGTGTATACTTGCTAAATAGCAGTATTTCTTGTAATTTGTTCTTGTAGGCATGTGCAATGGTGGGAGCACAAATTCCAAGATACTGCTACCATGACCGTTTGTCTGTTGCTGGGAACTGTCGGATGTGTTTAGTGGAGGTTGAGAAATCTCCAAAGGTGTGTAATAATGCATGGATTCTTTTGGATATCACTTCTCATTTATTAAGTTGCTTGGGGGCTTTATTAAAGCTTTATGCTTACTACCTGGCCGTCATGAACATTCACTATTTTCACTATATAATACAATACAATGTTTGTTATGTATATTTTTAATGATACAGTACAAATTATTCCAAAGAGAAATATATATTCATTCATGAAAACGTATCAGTGTGAATGATACAGTGTGTATTAAAATTTAGGGGGGAAAAACAATTAAAATGTTTTGAATGATGTTTTGCATGGAAAGCCAAATTTGTCAAGATGTATTGGAAAAAATAGTGATTTCAGGATATACAACCTTCACTATTTTGGCAGTCAAAAATGAGTAAACTAAATATTTGGAGTCTCCTGGGTCTGGGAGTTTGTCCCGTCTTGGAACATGCATAATCAAGACGTTTTACATCTTATGGAAAATTTTTTTTGTAATTTAGTAACCATTTACATTAACTATGAAACTGGTTAATTTTTCAGCCAGTTGCTGCTTGTGCGATGCCGGTAATGAAAGGCTCGAGGATTAAAACCAACTCAGAGATGACAAGAAAAGCCAGGTACTCTTGTTGGTGTAAAAATGTTCTTGAAATAGCTTGAAATTAGAAAAGTTGGATTTGCTGTTATTGATACCTAAAACATCTGCGAAACATTTAACTGACGTGAACTGATGTATAAAAGCAAAAGAGAAAATAATTTGCGGGAATGTTTGTTGGCGTCAAGCGAGATGGATAATGGACTATTTTATTACACTGGTTTATTATCACTATATTTTCTTATTCTATTCACATTTCAGGGAAGGTGTTATGGAGTTTCTGCTTGTGAACCACCCTCTTGATTGCCCTATCTGCGATCAAGGAGGAGAATGCGACCTGCAGGTACATTCAGTTCACGGTTATGATATGTATTCTTAGCAACAGCTATATAAGAATAGCCAGGCACAAGGACAGCCATTACAATAGAGATAATTTCATTTTTTTTACACGGCTATTGCATGGAATATCACAGGATCTACGAAATATCTGTCATGACAAGTCAGATGTGTGCACTGTGCACAATGACTGCTTGATGCTTTTCATTTGGTGATGTTTGTTATTACATACAGTATAGTGTATGTTTTTCGATGGACGCAGTTCATGTGCAGTAGTTAGTATACGTACTGTATCATTTCGGTCGGTCATTTTCAAAGTCATTGTATGCGTGTTAAATTCGCCAATACTTATTGTTATTATTAGGTACCGTGGAAACTACAAAATCCTTATTACAGTGCATTATCCCTTATAGGATCAGTCCATGGCATTTGGAAATGATAGGAGTCGTTTCGTGGACAATGATTTCTCTGGGAAAAGGTACAGTACCACACAATGTAACAAAGGCCACGCCATTGCTGTAACTAACAGGGGCTACGAAACGTGAGTAAATTAACTTCGTATGCATGAATACTAGGAATGTGCTACATACATCTACAATTTCACTTCAGCCGGGGAAAATTTATTTGAGTTACTTTGAAGCTGTGTCCTTCCTACGTTGTGTGTGATAATATGAGGATGATTGTCGAAGTTCTGTTTCTTATCTAACCAACTTTGCCCCAAATGTGGTAAAAGGGTAACAAATACTAAAATAGACATAAAAATGTCCCTACGTTTACCTAAGACCTTCGTGAGTATTATATCATTCTAACTTTTCTTACGAAATTCCGAGATCGAAATCTATCATAGGCCGTTTGTTATACCACATGCATTTGATGTGTTATAGAGTACGTCTATTTTTAGAGCCCCGTATTTTAAGTCCATCTTAGTTAAATTCAGATGTATCAAGAATTGTGAAGAATATTTCCTTCCTAAAAATTATATTAAAGCTTCTCCATGCTTCGTCCGAAAGGCCTTCGTCTTTAGCTAGCTACCTTTAACGTATTTGCCCAAGACAGTGGCCAATCGTAGACCAATAGCCAGTAGTCTGTGTTTGAAAGTTTTGGTGACTTTCGAAACTTTCTTTTTGAATGAAATATCTTTCAAATATGCCATTTAAGAAATGTACATTCTTTTTTACTTTTTTTAATTTCTTTTTTTCATCACTCAGAGCTGTTGAGGACAAAAACATCGGACCTCTTGTTAAAACAATCATGACAAGATGTATCCATTGTACAAGATGTATCAGGTAGAGGATACTTTTTTTCTACGAAATGTTTTTTATGGCTTTGTCATCAGTCAAAATCTTTTGCGGTGGTAGCCATTGTATCCATACACTACGTCATTAAATAGATTTGCAAGCGAGGTCGCTGGTGTGGACGAATTAGGTACGACAGGACGTGGTGGTGATATGCAAGTCGGAACCTACATTGAAAAGATGTTCAAGTCTGAGATGTCTGGAAATGTGATAGGTAGCTATACTGTATTGATCTATATTTCTTTAGGCGAAAAATCTCATCAGAAAGGGGCCTTTATGGCAATGTACCAAGACCTTTTTCTTTTATTTCAATATGAAAATGATATATTTTAAAACTGCGAAAAATGGTGATTGCGTATTTTCAGGAATTTTCAGTGGCCATATTTTTTAATTCTTCCTAAAATGAAACAAAGTTCTATCATCAGCCAGCACACGAAACCTGAATTTATTGATTACTTAACATGCAAGTTAAGTTGAAATCGAAAATTCGTCGTCGGCACACTAAAGGCTGTCGTCGTAATTCGTTGTCTCGTTGTTATGCAAAATCAAACATATGAAAATCGAGATCGTAACTTTCACAACAATTATGATCGTCTTACAACCAGAATTGCAAAAAAGAGTTCAACCTTCATCCGGGTAGGATTTCAAGTTACGAAAACCTTCCCCAAAATAAGTCATGTCACTGAGTTAAATGTTTTTTTTGTGCATGAGTGTGTTTAAATAGAATGTTCAACCTTCCTCACCAACCTCATTCAAAGTCAAGGTTGCTTACGAGTGGTACCCGTGTACCCGCAGCTTTTTTGCGACTCCGCTTACAAGAATAATATTTTATGAAAACAGGAATAACGACAATTATTACTCTGACAGCACTCTAGCCTCCAGTCCCTATTACTAATTCACGATACATTAAGGTGTTCAGGCGATACTATATTAATTTTAGTTTTACCGCAAAATTTTCAATTAAATAAGATGGAATGCGCTAGGTACGAATTGTACGATTTCTGTATTCATGTGTGATTTCACATAAGAACGAATTACGTCATATGAATTACGACGAGATATGTCATATGAAAACTAGCCTTAAACTCTTAATAATACTTAGACAGTTGAAAGAGAAAAGTGATGTTTGGTAGTATTTGATATGGACTTTCATGCATGATAAAATGATTGGTTTCTTGACTTTCTTACATCTACCATGCCCAAAAGTCTGCATACTATAAAGTGTACCACAATGTTTGTATTGCCCTGAAAGTAAGTGAAACTTGTATGGTTTCGCCAACAACAACCTTCGTTAATTATTAACCAGTTGATATTTTAGGAAAGTGTATAATGTGAATACTCCTTACTACAATTATTGGTGAAAAATGAAATTTGGACATTTTCTCTCTATTTAGATCTTTGCCCTGTTGGTGCTTTAACCTCCAAGCCATACGCGTTCACTGCTAGGCCATGGGAAACAAGGTACAGTACTTCTCAGAATGTTATAGAAATACGATACATTCCGTTCTTACTTTTGTAGAAATTAATTGCGTCTATGCGGCCTCTTAATTTTGAGAGTCGGGATAAACACTGTCACATTGTTGACAATTGTGTGCCGGTTAGTCTTTGCCCATATTATAATGCGAAGTCATATTTTGTAGAAAAACCGAGTCGATTGACGTTCTTGATGCAGTTGGAAGCAACATCGTCGTAAGCACACGATCAGGTGAAGTCATGAGAATTCTGCCCAGAATGAACGAGGTACAGTCACGTTGATATCGGAATTAGTGAATAGTGTAATGGCAATAGTTGGAATTCATTCTCCTTTGTCTACACCCTTGACACGCATGGTTTCTAAATCAAAAAATGAAAAATTGTCGCTATTTTCAATAAGTGCATGCGCCGAAGGGTGCGCGGTGAATGAACGAGTTACACTGTGCGTAGAAATTCTTACGTTTTGAAGAAATTCTGATGATGATGGAATTTTAGAGGTTGTCAACCGGGCCTTAAAGGTGTCTATTTTCTTTATTTAGGATATTAATGAGGAATGGATCTCTGATAAGACCAGGTATAAAAACGCACAATTTGATCGGTCATGTCTTGCATTTCCTGTTACTCGAAAGGCCAGAAGCAATTTTATTGCTCATGTTTTATATTTCCGCGACGTCACGGAATGAAACATGCGCTAGAGTCCTAGCACAAAATGTTTTCTAATGTTAACAGCCCATTTCATAATGTTGGGAACTTTTATGTTATTACAAAGTAAATATTTGCAATTTGCTACAACAACCGTTATAAAAGCAACAAGAATAACTTAAATTGGCGGATTGAAGCTTATTATAATCATAAATATGTACATATACGGACTCGAGTTACTTGAATCAGCGAATGTCATTACAACGTTTGTATGAATATTTCAAGGTCCTGTTAGCATAATTAATTTCCCGTAGCTTATTTCAAGAAAAATATTTGACTAGTGACGTCGAAAAAGGTCAGCTAACCGCGTCGTAGGTAAACTCCTTATTATTCGCTCATTGGGAAGTTTCCGCCATTTTTTGCGCCTAATGGGCCACTGGTCCAAAATAAAACACTTTGTTTTAGGCCTCTCAGGAGTTTGCCTGTATATTAATGAGATCGCGTGTGCTAAGGAATGTATAAGAGGCCAAGGGACTAGGCTAAAAAGTACTGGCGTTGCACCACCCTATATATAAGCGCCCTGGCTGGCTTCAATCGTATTAGGGCAGTGATAAAACTATGGTGAACACTATTTGTTTTTTTCAGGTTTGCGTATGATGGTTTAAAACGCCAACGTTTGACAACGCCAATGGTGAAAGATGATAGTGGAAATTTAACATCGTGTACTTGGGAGGATGCGCTATTGGCTGTCGCCCAGAAACTTCAGGTTGTGCAAGGTGACGAGATGGGAGCAGTCGTTGGTGGCCTCGCTGATGCAGAATCTTTGGTCGCTTTAAAAGATTTGTTCAATCGATATGACAGTGAAGCGTTATTTACGGAGGAGTATTTTCCTATGGATGGCGCCGGGTAAGTTTATTTCTCGATGCCGTGCGAGTGAAATTAGGGATGTTCGATGTGACCCGTAATACCGCAGAATACCATCTATCTTTCTTTCGCAGAATCTTTTTTTCAAACAGAATCTTTAATATTACTCTCCTTGCGACTTTCGTGATATATAATCAAGAGCGAGTATAATGTATTTGATTTAGTAATGACATACTGTATGAGAAAACAGTATCGTTTCGTATATATTAGCTCACTGCAGCATTTGGTAAGTTTTTATAAACAAGTTTTGTACTCTTTGCTTGAATACGGTATCAAAACTTGACACATGCATTAAAATATAATTATTAATAATGATAATCTTATACTTTATTATATGGCAAGCGTTTGTTTTGATAAATTCTGCAATTTGATTGTCTGCTTACTGGTCCGAATTTTTGTGAAAAAAGTAATAACTTTAATTGTTTCTTATTGTTAACGTTTATTGTTAACTCTAATACACCAAGACCCCAGTTTGATATTTAGCCGTACAGACCTCACACTCAGTAAGTAGTTACTGTAATACGTAATGAAAAGTTCATAATGTTGACAGAATTACGTATGCCAACCTGTATCCGCGTATCCAGCGTCCGCCGTACCATGGTATAAACTTTTTTATAAATTGGCCATCATATGTGCTCTCGATTATGTTCTGTATTGTGTATTCTAGAACTGATTTCCGTTCAAGTTACATCATGAATACTACGATCAGCGGCATTGAAGTAAGTAGCTACGTAGCTATGTATATATATGCTCTTTCGAGATCATCAGATGTAACAGGACATAATTCAACAGAAGAATAGAATGCGATCCTGCGGTCTGTTTAGAAAATTAGCAACCGCCGATTTTTTTTCCAGGAGGCTGATGCTGTTGTTGTAATTGGTTCTAATCCAAGATACGAAGCGCCTCTTATCAACAGTCGAATACGTAAAGCGTATGTACTCTCTTGTTCAATTTATTTTATTATATTCGCATGTCGAAAACGAACCACGCTTCGATCTCCTTTCGTTTACTGATGTGTTTCGAAACCAGGGCCGTATAGCTAGAAGCTTAATTGGGGGGGGGGGTGTGTGCATATTCATATATTCGTCATATGCCCGAATAATTTCTTTTGTGTGCTATTGCTCCTATGGTATATAAACATGAATATATGAATATACACCCCCCCAATTAAGCGGTCTAGCAACGGCCCTGTTCATAACTGATGTGTTTCAACTTCGCATCAATACCGAAAAACACTATATTTTCATATGGAACAAAATGGCTGTGAATGGATGACTGAAAAGAAGGGCTTGTCCAAGATGACGGTTAATATTAGGGTATACATATAGTTTGTATCGGAAACGGGGGTCTCCAAGAGGAATGCTCACTATATAGAGTTAGGGATTATTACAGAGGAGAGTCATCAGTGAAGGAGGGCGTAATGTAAGGGCGAGTTAATAGAGAGGTACCGGGTATATGGGAGAAGGGGTTATTAGAGGCGAGGTCTTTTATTACGTTATGTCTTTCTCTAGATGGTTGCATAATGATCTACAAGTGGCCGTAGTTGGACCTCAACTAGATCTAACATATACATACGAGGTAAAAATACATATAGTGTTTGCTTTTGAAATCCAGTCGCTTTCTTAGGGATACAATGTCTTAAGGTATATGTTCATATTCAATTCCATTTCTTTATGTATTAGCATTTAGGTGAATCGCCAAGATCACTTGAGGATATTATAAACGGAAAACATCCATTTTCAAAAGTACAGTACACTTATTCATTTCATAATGTTAGATTTGAGATAACTATTTCTTCAAATTCATGCATTGATTTGTTGAATATATTGTACGTAAAAGGGTGGTTGTGATTACTTGGCAGTGCTTCTTTTCTGCATCCCACAAAAACACAAACATTGTCAACGAATTTTGTCACTTGCCGAGCTTAACTATTCAAACGCTCCTTAACAAAAACAATACCCAAATCTCGTATATGTCGTGGTATAACATGCATAACGATGTAAGTTATCAGCAAAGTAAATCGTATTTTTGTGTCATAAACGTAAAACAAAAAAATGTTGTTGATACACCATGTAATTAAGCCCCGTTTACACTACACTCAATTTATTGGCACGGCACGGCTAAAATGGGTACCCGTGCCCATTTCATCCGTGCCCGGCCTTGTGTTGGTAGCCTGAACACTAATAAATTTGGGCACGGGTACCAATTTTAGCCGTGCCGTGCCGATAAATTGAGTGTAGTGTAAACGGGGCTTTAGTTTAATTCTAATCTTTCGGCCCTTGAGCCCGGGCCATCATCAGAGAAATTTAATTACAAACAAACTAAATTAAATATCTCTCATGATGGCCCAGGCTCTTGGCCCGAATGTTCAGAATTAACTAATTACACGGTGTGTATCACAAACATTATTGACTATTTAACAACACCATGCAAAACTTTAAAAGTATAACGTAGTTACATGTACATGACCACCTCTTTTTGTACACTTTCGTGTTTAAACTTTCGTCTGTTGGGTGTCTAGGCTTAATTTAGTAAAGGCGGTTGAAGTCAGTATTGTACTTGGAAAATCCTACTGTTTATAAATAATTATTATACATCGGTGTATATACGTTGAATATATTATCACACGATTTCCTCCTGTTTTAACTCATGGTGGCAGATCTGTATTACATACGTACATTTCAGGTGTTATCTAATGCGAAAAGACCCATGGTAATTGTCGGTAGTTCTATACTACAGCGACAGGATGGTGCCAGTATTTACGACCTGGTCTTCTCGTTGGCCAATAAATTAAAAGCTTCGCAGCATGTTTCGTCTGACTGGAGGACACTAAATATAATGCATAGAGTAGGTTGAATGCATGTATTCTAATTGTGCTTGCCAGAGGTCTTGACGCCATTAGTTACATGATTTTTGCTGTTTAAGGCTCATAGAGACGCATGCGTCATGATTCAGAATATGGCATCGGTATTTGTGAATAAGTAAATTTTGCCATTTAGGCAACAGTAGTTTGCTTGATTTTGGGTGAGAAAATATTTCCAACGATCCACTGAATATGCTGAACCTGCTTTCTATAAACGACGCCAGGACATGTTATTTTTTTGCATGATGGTATAATGTTTTACTGATTGTATGTATTTTTTCAGATGGCAAGTCAGGTAGCAGCTTTAGATGTTGGATATAAACCTCAACTGGATCTGTCAAGCTCACTCAAGTTCTTATATCTTCTTGGAGCTGTATGTATAATTTCATCTGAACCTATTATCTCATTTAGTTTATCGTCATATCATCGTTATAACCTAATCTTTGGCATTAATCTGGTGCAATAGCTGTTGGTCGTCGCATAATAACAACACTAACAATACTATAATGTTAGACACCAATGTTAAGCCGTGTTTACACGAAGGGGCTTACATTTACCTGACATTTACCCGTACCTGAGAAGTACCTAACCAAGTTTTACAGGGTATGTTTACACCAGTTACCTAACGGGACTTATATACATACACGCAACATAAAGTACTTTGAGAAGAGTATTAAAATAAGCTTGCAGTTCTTTGTTTGTTTATTTCGTACAAACTACAAAGCCTCGTAAAAGAATACGACGTAGTGATTATTGGGATTACTAGGAAACAACGATTTCATGCAAAATTAAAAAATATATGATATAACTTATCGGCAAGTTCCGAAATTCGCCATGTAGCTAATTATCAACTCTGAATTTCCCCCCATTTTTCCAAGACCGCTAAATGCTGACATCAAAGACTCGAATTTACGTTTGTTGTCATGGAAATTAGCTTCGGTCAATGAAAATGTGAAAACACGTCCGCCAGACTGACCTGAGACTTACCTAGGACTTACCTAATACCATGTTTTCAAGCCACCTCTAATGCTTGGCCTGAAATCATGGTCTTAGGTCGGTCCTATGTCGGTCTTAGGTCAGTCCTAGTGCGTTTACACTACAGGACTAACTGCTTAAGTTGGGTCTTAGGTCAGGTATAGGTCTCTAGTGTAAACACTGCTTTAGACAGACCACAACAACCCCCCACACACTCGACCCGGTCGCTACCTCTTACAGCAATTCACACTGTTGTTACCTCTTACAACAGTCCACAATTCTTAGCAACTGTGAAAAATATACTCATGTACAGCATGCTGTCTTATAAACTTTTGCCCATCGTATGTAATATGCAATATGAGTGTAGTGAAACATTATTATTAACCTTCGCACCAATTTTAGGATATTGTTTTTATTAATATATAGGATATCGGTACAGTAAATACAGATAGGTTACCTAAAGATTGTTTCGTCGTGTATCAAGGTAAATCTCGGTATATTGTACTTTACCAAACTTTCTTAAAAACCATCCCACATGCTGACTACATGTTTGAAATTCGCTTATATACTCTTTATATAATCCCATCATTTATGCCATACAATTTGTAAGGTGTGGTTGTATGGCACTATATTAAACTGAAAACCAAAATTAATGATATTTTGTTCTTTTAATTTATATCAAACTTTAACAGGTCATCATGGTGATCACGGTGCGCATATGGCTGACGTTATATTACCGGCTGCCGCCTACACTGAAAAGGTGGCAACATATGTGAATACTGAAGGAAGGGCGCAGCAAACAAGGTAATAAATGGCATTCCCTTGTGGTATTTCTCTCACCAATAATATCCCAGTACAGACTATAATTTGTAAACAATATCTTGCGCTAAGGTATCTTTAAAAACACTTTTAACTCTGCATGGCCGCTTGTTAGTGCTAACCCTGTCATGGGGTAAGCCAGTTTCGGCCCCCAATTAAATCCGCCAAAATTGGTTTAGGTCAGAGCATGCACGGCTGAGTGTTTTATACAACCCGGACCTTGGAAGTATCGCGGGACGCGATACTCTAGTTAGTACGATCCCATTTATCTGTTTCTCTATTACATTTAAGGCGTGCTGTATCTCCTCCTGGTCTTGCCAGAGATGACTGGAAGATAATAAGAGCACTTTCAGAGGTGAGGTACACATTTTATTCTGCCCAATTTTAAGATGTGTTTTATTTTCAAGCTTTGACTTGAAAAACTTTACTCTAGGAAGTGGGTAACCTTAGAAATTCTTTTGCCAGATATGTGGAGATCCATTACCGTATGACACACTAAATGATATGCGAAGTCGAATGACCGAAGTTGCTCCGAACCTCACCCGATATGGCGATGTGGAAGAGGCAAACTATTTTTCACTCACTAAAGAACTACTAAAGGTACATTTTGATCTTTAATCAATAGACCCTGTGAAGCCAAACGGAATTTCGGTCATTTGCGGAGCGGATCGGACCCCTGCAATAGGGTCCGAGGTTGCATTTTTCGGAACTCCTGCCGTGCAAAATACAGTTCAGAAACGTTGCTTTGGACCTGATCGCTTTGTGCTTGTTCCTAGGGTAATAAACCATCAGATAAAGCTCTTATTCCTCCTATCCTAAATTTGGAAGATTTCTACATGACCGACCCCATCAGTCGTGCCTCTCAGACGATGGCAAAATGTTCAAAAGCAGTGAAAACAATGGCTTAATTACGGCGAAATACAATATCCTTAATTGCCTCCAAGTTTGCCCAAATGATCAACGCCGGCGAACGAGTTGAACAATAGAAGGTTCGCCATTCATGCTGTTACCGGTGGTTAAAGTTTGCGAACATTTTCTCTGTTTGTATATTTCTATTTAATATGTTCAGACTCACGACAATTTTATACCTAAAAATTAATGATGTATCTATGAATGTGTTAAAATAAAGTTTAAATTCTATATACATTTATGTGAGTATGTGTGAAATAAGACAAATTATAGGGAGGAATTACGTATTAGACTGTGTAACATACAATCTGTCGCTCTATATTTTCCATATCCTCTTTCTTACTGCCATTACTGGTAATTCGGAGTTTTGTTTGACATGCAAAAACCCAGGCCACCTTCTGGCTTGATTGTGAATATTTAGTAATCTAGTATCAAGGTAAACAAGGTATCGTTTTATTGAGATTGTTCTCAAACTTGCTTTAAACTTGATTTTATCGGTTCGGCATGGGAGTGAATTGAACTGTGGGGCAGGAGAAAATAAAAGCAGCCAAGCAAACCATAGGCCTGTTTTTTGTGTATTGTGCGTCGTTCAGCATTACGATCGAGCCATACCAACAATGTCAATGCATGGTGTCATCAGAATTTTCATCCCTGATTCAGGTTTTGGTACACAGTTTACCGTAAAACATATTGAGTAAATGACTGGGAGCACGTGCTGGAAGCTATGGCAAGACCCACGCGTATGAAGAACGCACTTGTTTGAATTACATCATCAATGGTAAAAAAATTGAATAATTGTGACGTCACGCGACCTTTGACGAAAAACAGCTTCGCACGCTCACTTGGCGTTCTCACATTGAGGTGGAATAACAGTGCCCCTCAATTTACAGAATTAATATTATGGAAAGATAAGTAATAAAAAAATACTAAAAAAATACTAACAATGAATGGAAAAGTGGCTCCTGTGTCTGTCCCAGTAAAAGTTCTTCCTGACCAACGTGTACATGTCGATGGTAATCTTCGTTGCACGAAATGTCAACTGATTATGCCATGCAGCTGCTCTAGCGCCGCCATCAGGCTTTCTGAGGTGCAGTTATTGAACTACGAGTTGTCTGAAAAACAGGAACTTGCGGCCGAAACGGTTCGCAGCATGGAAACACGAAAAAGGAAATCAGTCTCGGCAGGTTTGAATGATTCTTTATTACTTACTTCTAAAGGCCTGGTGCTCTTCAAAGACACAGACCTTCGTTTAGCTAATTTTAAACCAAATCAGGAACATGGGTTCGTGGCAGATTGGAAAGAAGAAGAAAATGTTATCTTTGTTATGCAAATTCTCTTTTTCGTGCAAATTTGTGGAACTATTTTTTGGCTAATTTACATCGTATTTAAATCGGTCGATGGCTTTTTTTACATACGATTCAGTTTTATCATTATAACTATATTTGCAATTTCATTTGTTCCTATCTTAAAAGAGCGGCTTTAAAGTCAAGCTGGACCGTGTATCGTTATACAGGGTGAATAAAAAAAACTGACACCTTTGAAATTCAAATTAGCCGCGAACTTATGGCTGGAATTTGACAATTCCCATTGTGTACAATCAACAAGACGTGGTTAATTAATGCGAAAGTGTTTAAACCAATTGAACTAATTCAACGCTCTTTTTAACGGAAGAGCTTAGAATGCATTTTAACTCCCAAAGGGAAAAACTTTATGCTCTACTTAGTTAATGGGTTCACTTACTTGATATGCTTCGTATATTTTAGGCAACTTCTGTCTCATTACAGCCTATTACAGAAACATTGCAGCTAATTTGAATTTCAAAGGTGTCAGGTTTTTTTACTCACCCTGTACAGGGTGTCCCAAAAAAAACGAAAACTATTGAAATCACACATAACAATGCAATTGTTAGAGTTTGAATGCCTAAGCACTCTGTTGGGACCCACAGGTGTATAAATGTTTACCATACTCATTTTTACGCAAGCATATATGATGCAGTAAAATTTGCTTGTTCGCAAAAATGATATTTATTAACAATATTTACAATTTACAAATATGGATAACATTATTTAAATGTGCATCTCAAGGACCATGACCTTCGACATGTCCCCTTTCTCTAGCAACACAAAGCATTTAGCATTTTATAAGTTGCATTAAATCCCCACGGGCTGAAATTCGTTAACACGGCATTCAAATTTTAACAATGAGTGATTTCAATAGTTTTCGGGTTTTTTTGGGACACCTGTACTGTATACAGGGTGTATCAAAAAAAAGGAGACCTTTAGAAATCAAGCTATTGTTAAAATTTGAATGCCTTTTCAATTGCATTTGCACAAATGCTGAACCGTAGTGCGCTAAATATTGATGGCATGCATGCATACATTAGAAAATGAATTGACACAAGATTGTCTGCTCCTGGGAATTTGAAAATAACTTTAATAGCATAAGGAAAAATAACGACCCAAAAATATTCAAATGACTAAGCACACTACCAGAACAAAAATGGTTCAACTGACTTCGGAGCAAAGAGTTTTTGTAGTCTTAACTTATACCCAGCCTGCCGTCATCAGAAAAGCAGTTCGCGATATGCACAAGCGTACGGTAGTTTGTGTTGAGAGAAATGGAGGCCACGTTGGAGGTCATGGTCCATGACATTCAGTTTTTTTGATGTTCAATTTATCAGTAATTTTCAATCCGGATCGAAATGTCAAGTGAATCTGTGTTCCTTATGCTATTAAAGTTATTTTCAAATTCCCAGGAGCAGAAGACAATCTTGTGTACAAACGTCAATTCATTTTCTAAAGGTCTCCTTTTTCTAATGTATGCATGCATGCCATCAATATTTCACGCACTACGGTTTAGCATATGTGCAAAAGCAATTGAAAAAGCATTCAAATTTTAACAATAGCTTGATTTCTAAAGGTCTCCTTTTTTTTGATACACCCTGTAGTTAAGGCCACAGTTCTTATATATATATGATTAATATATATGATTAATATATATATATATATATATATATATATATATATATATATATATATATATATATATATATATATATACAGTCGTTATCAAAAAGGTTGTCATATGGAAATATATATAAATACGTAAATATCGGTCACGTGATTTTACTACATACGTTAATTTTATGAGAAATTGTTGGAAATCTGTCGTAAAAATTTCGGAAATGTCATAGTAAGGTGAACAATATTGTAATAATAAAGAAACAAGTGATAAGTGTCAAAATAAGCCATGTTTAATGGTCACGTGATTGATATTTATATATTTCTATATGTATTGATCGGGACATCCTTTTGATAACGACTGTATATATATATATATATATATATAAATAATATATATATATATAATTATATAATATAATATATATATATACACCCGTTTGCAAAAACGTTGGCCGCAAATAGATATATAGATAGATACCCGAAATCTAATTAGAATTGCATATGTTGTGTAATATGATTGAAATCCCATGCAAATGTATTCATATACAATTCTAATTAGACTTCGAGTATCTATCTATCTATCTATTTGCGGCCAACGTTTTTGCAAATAGGTGTATATATATATATATATATATATATATATATATATATATATATATATATATATATATATATATATATATATATATATATAAATTATTAATAATCATGCAGTAATTATAGATGTACACTCGCCTCAATTTTCGGTTCATAAAACTGTCACGTACATGTAAATACCAAATTATACCATAATGTTTATACTGTTGTATTGCAGACGAAAACAATATTTCCAAGGAGAAACCAAGCAACAGAGCCACGGAAAAACGCCAGACATTGGAAGATTTCGTGGTGAAGACGGAAAAAATGATGGACGTAGGCTTGAGTGAAACTGGGACGAACTGGTTTTCTAGCAGCAGCGCCCGGGCCAAGAACATGTTTAAAGTGAGCACCGATAATAAGCTCGCCTTAAAACTCTACGGCAACAAAGCCGCCGTGGTTATGGAGCAGAGGCGCCAAGCACAGAAGGGCGACGGTGTTATTCACCCGTTCAGCACATTCCGCTGGTATTGGGATATAATTATGGTAATATTAATTACAACCCATGTGCTTCTTTTGCCTGTCAGCATTGCCTTCGTCGACCAAGACTTATCGCCAGGATGGCTTGCACTCAACTGCGTGTCTGATGCAGTGTTCATACTTGATATCCTCCTGAACTTCAAAACGGGCGTCATTGATTTCGATCGACAGGAAGAGGTTATTCTGGATAAGAAGGTTATTCGTCAACGATATCTCCGCGGCTGGTTTGTTATAGATTGTCTGTCCTCCCTTCCTTTTGATTATGTTTATATCATTGCCTCGTCGAGTTCGGCCGGGAGTGCAGATAGCGGGATACTTCAAGCATCCAGAATCCTGCGCATCCTAAAGCTGACCAAGTTGCTTAGCCTTTTAAAACTCCTCAGGGTATCTCGTATTGTGAGGTATATAAAAGAACTCGAGGAGGTATGGTTTGTTTTGTTGGCTATATTGGTTTTGAAAAAATGATATAAAGTGAACAATAAAATAATGGCATTCGCATATTATTCCCTTTTACAATACTCCGACAACCATGCACAAAATGGCTTTTTAAAATGCACAAAATAGATTTTAAAACGATAAATATATCCACTGACAGAAAATGATAAAAGTCCTATATTCAGCAAAAATCGCAAGCGAGCCAATGTCTAAAATATTTAATGGTTTCTTGGAGGGGCTCACCATGCATATACAGTATAGTGCGGTCTTACACACACGCGAAGACAATCTGTCTTCCTATAGCCTTAACAAATTTCATTCTCAAATCTAGTTGCTAAACATTCAAAGCGGCCAAATGCGGATCATTAAATTGATTGGTTGTATGTTGCTGTTGTCCCATTGGAATGGTTGTGTTCAGTTCCTAATTCCGCGGCTCATGGGTTTTCCTGATAATAGCTGGGTAGTTATTAATGGATTAAAGGTAATTAATCACTATACAGGGTGAGTAAAAAAAAACTGACACCTTTGAAATTCAAATTAGCCGCGAACTTATGGCTGGAATTTGACAATTCCTATTGACAGTATTGTGTACAATCAACAAGACGTGGTTAATTAATGCGAAAGTGTTTAAACCAATTGAACTAATTCCACGTTCTTTTTTATTACATAGCTTAGAATGCATTTTAACTCGCAAAGGGAACAAACTTTATGTTCTGTTCACTTATTTGATATGGTTCGTATACCCATAAGATATTTTAGGCAACTTCTGTCTCATTACAGCCTATTACAGACACATTGCAGCTAATTTGAATTTCAAAGGTGTCAGGTTTTTTTGACTCACCCTGTACAGGGTGTATATAAAAAAGGAGACCTTTAGAAATCAAACTATTGTTAAAATTTAAATGCCTTTTCAATTGCATTTGCACATACGTATACTGAATGAAATATTGATGGCGTGCATGCATACATTAGAAGAAGGAGACATTCTCTGAAACACGTGTTTCTCCTTCAGCCCTTCAGCGCTTTTCATTGAATAACAGGACCGATCATGCATGCATGCAATGATTCATGTGGGACCGACTTTCAGACTTCTCTTTACTTCTCTCCGCCAACTTATTTTAGTTCTTTTCTAAGAGAACTGTACTGTAGTATATCAACAAAGTTATCTCGCCAATCAATCTCGCTAATTAATCACTATCTATAATTTCAGTATAAGCCAAAATTCGATCAGTACAGTTGGTCTCTCTTCAATGCCATGTCACACATGCTTTGCATTGGTTATGGTCGTTTTCCACCGAACAATATCACTGAACTGTGGGTAACACTGTGTAGTATGACCATTGGCGCAACATTCTACGCTGTATTTATTGGCATCATGTCTACACTAATTATGTCAATAGATTCTTCAGGGAGATTGTATAAGGAAAAGGTAATGTAAGACATACGTTTTTTTAATCCGTTTTCATGCACATTTGTCAGTGTTAACACACATTGGCAAAAAGCAAAATTAAAAAACATACACAAGTTATGATGCATATATAATTATACAAAGGGTCGCCAGACCGATGCGAGGGAAAAGAGGGGCATATTTTGGTGGAAGGGCACTCCAGACCTGTAGCGGTGCATAATAAAGGATGTTTGCAAAAAATCGTCAGTTGATATTTTTAAATTTTATCACCGAACACAATTTTATTGCATTTTTTGCAAAACATATCAAACAAATGAAACCGCAAACGAAAACTATGTAATATACTCGAATAATTCAAATGAATAAAGATGTTACCAAGCCGCTTGCGGAGAAATATTTGCATTTTTTTGTTGAAGTTACGGTTGCTCTCAATTATATAAAAAACATGAAAAATAGTTCTCACGCTTTGTAGCGGGGAAAAAAGTTACCTGTATGTGCGCCCATTTACACGCAAAGTGAATAAAGACGTAATGACATAACTATCATGGCGAGGATTGTCCAGTTCCAGGCGATATAGTACAAAGTGGGCATAACTTCAGTTAACATTGTAAAATTAGTTTATTATTAAAACATTATATTATTATAGTTCATCAATAAAATCATAATAAATTGTCATTATAGTTAAACCAAGTTGGGGAATACATGCGTTATCGTAAGCTGCCATTACAAATCAGACGTCGTGTTCAGGATTTTTACGAACATCGATATCATCATAAACTGTTTGACGAAGACGCCATTTTGAGGGAACTATCGTATCCATTGCGAGAGGTATGGGCACCAAAATTTCATACTTGGCGATCATGATCACTACTTAACAAATTAGATAGAAAATTTCGATTATTTCTTTGAATGGCTTAAGTCAAAGTCAAAGTCAAAATACTTTATTTACCGAGGGTAAAAACACCATTATTGGTAAACCAGTAGTTTTCATGATGGTCCTCAACGGTTTGACTCCGTTTGAACGTCTTTTCAGTGTCGGACGCATCTTCTGCAATTAAAGCTCTTATGTATGGTTCGTCTCATATTCGCGGTAAATATACTAGTCTTGAAAATTACTTTTTCTTTCGAAAGGAAATTCAACTACACAACGCTCGATCTTTGCTCACCTCAGTACCGTTCTTTGACGACGCTAATGAAGAATTTGTTACACTCTGTGTGACGTTACTAAAATTTGAAGTTTTCCTTCCTGGTGATTTCATATTCAAAAGAGGAAGTAAAGGAGATAGAATGTATTTCATCGTGCGAGGCATTGTTGATATTTTAACGACAGATGGGTTTGTTGCGACTAGCCTTACGGATGGCTCACATTTTGGAGGTATTTATGGTGGCCAGTGAACTGCAATAAAACCCTGAACCTATAGTTCAACGCTATATTTGGTTGAAGCCAAAAATTGAAGCAGAAAAAGATGAGTTTTCGACTCCGTTTCTCGTTCAATTTTTTTAAACGTTTGAATGCTTGTATTTTACATAGTTCTAGACACTCTTAGATAATTACACACTCTCTACGTTTGTCTCAAAAGTTCATAGACTGCTTTCAAATTTTGCTTCGAAGATGGCGGCCAAATTAGCGTTCCAGGTTTTATTACAGTCCACTGATGGTGGCCTGTGCGAGACATACAGTCAACAATAAGTCATACATTAAAAATAAACATTGGCTTGAATCAAATATTCATTTTTGTCTCATAAAATATTACATTTCGCGTACATTTGCGTTGCTGTGAGCAAAATGCGTTGCCTGCCTCGTACCCAGGCGCTTTAGTAGAAAAACATAACGTTGCATTCAGCTGTTATATAGAGGTCAGCTTAAAAACGTGAGCGCGCATTGGTGCTTGGGAGTGTTTTTGACAAAGGAAGCTTCCCCGCTAAACAAAGCTCCCCAAACACCCCCGCGCGCACGTTTTTTCTCAGCTGACCTCTATATAATAATCGTTATATGTTTTTCTACTAAAGCGCCTGGGTACGAGGCAGGCAACAAAATATTAATATTTCATATAGCTTAGCATGTAATCTGGTCTATATTTGCTCGTATATATTGTTAGAGGGACAGTTACGTTCATTTGAGAGCATTTTAACTTGTTTTGAGCAGTTCTTTTTGACCGTCAGTGTATATGGAAAGGATGGCAACTCTTCTTGGGTAATAGATATGTATGACAACTTTGAAGAATTTTCAAGTCAGAAAACCACACAAAAACGTTCACGAATAAGAGGGGGGGGGATTAAGAATTAAAATTGAGATTAACAAAAAGACGCGTGAAAATACAAAAATACGTGAAACGACTTTAAAAATTATGAATAATAAATACATTTTAAAAATGTATTGCTACAATGGAAGTAGAGGATGAAGGACTACTGGATTTCCACGTAGCGATGTTATTAATACATTATAATTTTAATAGTCGGCTGTTCTTTCCCACAGCTGCAGCAAAACTTTGCCAATTCGGGATTTTTTTTCCCAGCAGTATAACAATACATCCTCACAACTCTGCCTAAACTATTCGGAAATAATAAATGTTTTGTTTTCTTTAGCTTTCCTGTATTCTTTACCTGCATTTCATAAAGTACTGATACAGATAAACATCAGACATCAGTAAACTATATGTTTCGTAAACTTATCTGTACTTCATGTAAACATTTAGCGTTCTTTATTTGCAGCAACGCTTTTATTAACTTCCAGCGTTGTATGTAACGCATATTTAATTATGTTTGCTGCATGCATAATTGCAAAATATTTAAATTGCAGATGATTTAGTTTTGCAGCAGCATATTGCAGCTCTTTTTATTCACAGCTGCGTTATTTTGCAATGGGTATTTGATCATGATTCAAGGAAATGTTTATTTTTTACGTATGACTGTAGTTGACTGTATGTCCTGAACGGGCTACCGTACGTATTCAAAGATGTATAGCTATATTTTTTACGGTAGGCTACAATGTATGTCACGGGTGACATGGTTTGGGTCAATAGCAATCAGGCCTTTGTAAAATTTGATTTTCCGACTTCGATTCCTTTCCGACTTCTTTGCAACTAATTTATATTGGGAAAATGAAATATATTGTTATTATTATCAATTATATTAGGGTCAAGTACACATATTTTTTCAAAAGGAAAAAAAACACACACAAAAAAAATTCAATTAAACTGTGAACGAAGTAAACCCAAAATACATGGGCAAGGTATAAACGGAACTCGAAGAACCATGCAAAATACCTTCCTAGACTTTACGAAAACTATTTTAAATAACGTTACACACATGCAAAACTGTGCAATCTAGTACACTACAGTTTTTACGTCCTATGACACGAACAATCTCTAAACAAGAACAGAATCAACAATAGTGAGCTTAAGCATGTGACGTTTTTGACAACACAAACGGCATGAGTAACGTGAAAAGACTGGGTCAAGGATTGTGATTGGTGAAAAACAGAAACTTTACTTCCGGTTAACGTACGTGTTGTCAAAAACGTCACTTGCTTAAGCTCACTAATATCTAGAGTATATACGTTTAACTAAACATTTAAAAGAACTAGGACTAGAGACATGCAGTGTCCAAACAAACATCTTTACATAAAATGTTCCACACTTTGACGACACGATTGTAGTATATATAGGAAGATTAAAAAGTGCTTCTTCTACAAATTTGAGTGTTACTAAGCCAAGTTCGACCGTGACTAACAAACGAAACATAGTTACTGACATCGACGTTGACATAACCAAACAAAGCCTTGTTCAAAAACACCAAACTTTAATCTCCCTATGGAAGGTTAGTGGTAGAAGTCCCAAGGCTGACAGACGTTCTTTGTAACTCAACTCTTCTCTTTTGCTCATCATTATCCATCTCGTTGCCCAACGTTGGACTCTTTCAAGCTGCTTTGAGAGTTGGATGTTATTTCCTTGCGTAGCAATAAACCTCCGTTGCGGAGCATAATTGCGATTTCACGTGAGCCTAATATAGAGTTCGCCTGACTTTCATATCTGTAAGTTGAGTCCATGTTCGATACAGTACACCTAACGTTTTGTTGGTCTTGGAGATGACAGAGTTGATGTGAAAATCCCATGAATGCCTGGAAGAAGTGATGATACCAAGATCCTTTTCACAGTTAGGCCTTACCTCGAGTCTGACTTTCTGTTCCCAGTTTGTAATCATAAGTTGCAGGAGTTTCTTTGCGTGTAATGGTGAGTACCTTGCACTTGGAAGCATTGCAACGGATTTTGTTTTGTATACTCCAGCAATTCAAATTGGTCAAGGACTGTTGTAAAGATTTGCAGTCATCGGCAGAGGTAATTGATTTGTGCAACTTAGCATCGTCAGCATATGCAGGGCTGTTTAAGTGCCATTTTGCACAACATCGGGAAGATCATTAATGAAGATGAGAAATAATAACGGACCGAGAATACTTCCTTGAGGTACTCCAGAAGTGACTGCATGGTGACCATGTCGAAGCTACACTATCTACAATGACTCTCTGAGTCCCACCATCTTTGAACAAACCTAAAACTGACCCCGATACACCGTAACAACGTAGTTTGTCGAGAACGATTGCATGATCCACTGAGTCGAAAGCCTTGGCAAAATCGAGATACAAGACGTCGGTTTAAGTATTCTTATCTAGATGATGTCCAATTGTGTGGAATACTGATAGTATTTGAGTCACACACGAGCGTTTTCGAAGAAAACCATGTTGAGCTTGGCAAATGTGATGCAGAATGTGATCGCGAAGTCTAAAGTACACACAAGTGACACTACGTTCCAAGATTTTAATGACGATTGACAAAAATGATATGGGCCGATGGTTTTCCGATGGCTCCTTCGAATCTTTCGTATGGATCGAAGCGACATTTGCTCAGGGAGGCTTGATTGGGTCTTGTAGGTTGAAACACAGAGGAGAAATAAGAGTTGAAAAGTTCAGCTTTATCTGAAGGCGTTTTTGCCAACTTGTCCTTGTAGGGGATTACTGGAGTTTGAGTTGATCGATAATGGAAGACTGCCTTATGATAACTCTAGAATAGCCTCGGGTTTTCGTGAAAAGAGTTCCTAATTTTGAGTAGATATATAGTCACGATGTTTGATGGTCTGACTAATTTCGCGTAGCTTTCGTATATATATCTATATAGCTATATCAATCTAAGCTCATTGCATTCAGAATATGCTTATATAGGAGAGGTTATGAATGATCGAGACTAATATTTTCAAATCAACATATAGAAATATCGTTACTTCGAGAAGATGGTCGTCGAACCGCAACATGCCGGGCAGCGACGATGTTAGATCTTTATTCATTAACCTCCTCTGACTTCAAAGCTGTTCTGGACGAATTTCCGGCTATGGAAACCTTACTTTCAGACGTTGCTGTTGAAAGATTACAACGGCTTGATAAATATACAGACGAAGCAAGACAAAATCAAGTGAAAAGGTACGAGTATATGTTGTAATTTTTTTAAAAAGCACTTTAACAGGCATATATCTTCTGTAATCAACGGCAAACACTGCAATTTCCGGCTATAGGAGGAGTTTTGATTGCATTCTTTGGCTCTCAAGGTTGAAAATATCACCACCTTCAAAAGAATTGCCGAATAGTTTTTACCAAAGCAAACTCTCTTTAGAATTTGGTAAAAAAATTTTTCAGTTTTTAGAAACTAAAAAATTTGAATTTACTAAATTGATGTTTTCAGTAGTGAGACATGTATCTCACAACATCTCCCTGTAAGACACTCATACAAAGTAAGTTAAACGGGCTCAGCCAGCAGAAACATGATAAATTAATGAATTAATGATTGAGAAAAACAGAAATGATTAGTTTGTCATTGTGGCATTTCATACCATCCTGCGAGAACTTGTTTTAAAAACCAATTAATAAAAACAGCATGCGCATAAAAATGATTTGACAGTACATGCCTAAAATGCACGAAGTTTATACCTATTAACACTATATATAGTGTAGTTAGCCTGACGATTTGTCCCACTATGCTAATATTTTGACTGTGAAAGCAATACATTTCTAAAGGCATTATTACTTTTATAACTCGAGATCCACATAGCCTATGCCTACTGCCTATTTTTAAATCTGATTCTCATGGTGACATTACTTATTATTTCCTGTTGTGATGAATAAATGAAACATCATTCAAAGACAAACAATTACTTTGTCTGCGAGTTGACGTCTTAAAATAGCAAACCGTTTTTTGAATGAACCACTAAAAAGTTTTTATCTCAAAAATATTTTTTCTACGAAGTTTTTGTGCAGGCTGTGTCTGAAGAATTCAAACTATACAAGCCAAAATTGAAATAAATATTCCCGAATTTTTCAGAGATTACAAGACTGAAAAAATCAGCTCAAACGAACTGGAAAACACTGAAATACACAAGAAACGTTTAGGCGCTATGAAGATCCCTACTTTAAGCAAAGGATTTTTACGCTCAATGGCACCAACGCTCGGAGTAGCAGCACTAAAAGAATCAGAGACTACAAAAAATGGCCATTCCAGTATCGAGGAAGGAGAGGTTGGGCCCGAGTGCTCTCATTGGCAGACAAAAGATTCCGAAGGGAAAAATGAGACTATACATCTGATTGCCAAGAGGGAAAAATTAGGGTAAAATATAGAAAATAGCGCATTCGCTCTGCATTGTGTTTCTCAGTTTGTGTAGTAGCGTTTTGTGATTTTATTCCTCTGAATTTTTGAAATTGAAACGAAATTCGTACTGTGTGTTGTCTAAAAATTCTCAGCGCGTTGCGCTGTGGGTTACACCAAAGCAATTTGGCAATTTCTTTAATCTATATGCATCACACGAGAGTTTTAGAAGCACAGGGCCGTAGCTATGGAAGCTTAATTGGGGGCTGTGGTATATTCATATATTATTCTTGTTATGCGCGACTGATTTCATTTGTACGCTATTGTTACTATGACCCTACTGCCGCCGCCGCCGTGAAACTTTCACCAAATTCCACTGAACATTCGCTCTGACTAGCATCCAGTTCCTTCACGCAAAATATATAGCGCGTCATTTCAGTAAATATAGCGAACACGAACAGACTAAACTTTTTCTTGAACGCATCAAGAATCCGATGTAGCTATTAATACCTGTGAAGTTTTTTTTATAAATGCATATGTTTATTTAATAGTTTGTAGCATCACAGCCTATGAAAAATACCTGTACTTCGCAATTTCTTAGTTCTTATTGTTGTTATACCGGTATGCCCAGAATGGATATAACCAAAGGGTGGATATTCTACTATTTGACGATAAAGTATTGGAATTTCGAAGAGTGAACCCTCTTTATATATCTACTCTTCGTATGAAATCGTAGAGCCGACGATGGATATAACGACCATTTATTAAAGGATTTGACTGATATGTTTAGCTCCTTATTCGAAAGTCCCGAGTAGAGAGTTTTAATATTAATTGATGTTAGAAGAGTTGCTCAACGTTAACATAAGAATAATCATTATACGGATTGACGGCAAAATAACCAAAATAAAGTATTTGTTTTGTGTACAATGGTACAAAAACATAAAATATTTAATGCCTATATAATAGTGTTTTGATACTCTTTAGTGTTTACCTATTCATTACCTATGGTTTACATATTCATTTCCGGAACCGTGTTTCAAGTCCTTCCGGTTAGAGTCCACCTTTTACTAACAAGTCCAGTCCACCTTTTACCAATGAGTCCAGTCCAAGTCCACCTTTTACTAATCGGGGCTTTATCGGTCCAGTCCACCTTTTACTAATTAGTCCAGTCCACCTTTACTAGTCGAGTCCAGTCCAGTCCATGTTTACCATATGCCAACTCAATGAGGAGAAAATGACTTCGTGATTTTCCGTAATTTCAACATCCAATCTGAAATTTGCCTATGATTTTTTCGATGAAGACGTTTGTCCAGTAAATTGCATCCTGACTCTGTTTAACAAAATTTCGATAGAAATACAGTTTCTATTTGCAAAATGTAAGCATTTTTAAGTTGTTTTCAAGTCTAAAAACGACAGATAAATTTAGTGAAGATATCCAAGGTGTTTTGTATGTAATTTTTTTCAAGAAACTAGGGTAATTTTTGAGTTTCAAGCGTTGGTATCAATGTATACATGCATTTTTTTTTTTGCGAGAGAGTTACCAGCCTTAGGTTTAATTATATACATAAAGTAGTATACGGTGCGCGCATTGACCGGGCTGCCTATGCTACTGGCAAAGGAGATGTACATAAAACATCTATTTTTTCCGAGCTTCACGCTTATAATATTGCATCAGAGTTTTTTTACATCAATTAATTAATTTTTAATACGTAATTTATAAATGCAGTTGTTTTGCAATCTTTTTCATTTTTGTGTGCCAAAATTTATATATTTCAACATCTAGTTATAAGATCCTTGCACTAGGCATTTGTACCATTTTATTGAACCCTGTATCCTTCAGTATGTATGTGTATCAAGCTGAAATTTTTAGCTGAGCTTTAATAATTTTGGCAAAGGCCATAACAAAGTGATATGAACTAGTATTCTACATATACAATTGTTTTTGAATTTGTCAATAGCTCTTTTTTGGCTAAGATCAGGCATTTTATTTTCACTCTTCAATGAAAGAATGACTGCATGATTTATGTAATGTTAATTGTGGGAAAATAGTATTGATAAATAATCTAAATCTGAAAATGCTAAATAGATTAATAGAAGCAAATTCTAGACCATAATTATACAAAGCCATATTAAATACATCCAGGTCTGCCATACTTTAAAAGCGGGTCGAAGCACTTAGTCCCAAGAATCCTCCACAACCAAACAATTTAATAGAACAGAAACAATTTTTCCACGTGCGACCTCATAGACCTCTTGACTGTCGTGGAGAGAACACCTCTCTCACTAAAAATATCGAAGTATTAGAAGTGGCAAACTTTTTAATTTCATAGAAAGTGCTGCTAATGTAACTTTTAATATAATCTATTTGAGCAAAAGAATTGTGATAAGAGTTTCCATATTAAACGAGGCTCCTTTATTTCATTCGGGTGACGGATATCAAAACTTGGTATATGATTTAAAATGCATTACTATACTTATTATTTGGTAAAATTTCTGCTTTGTTGTTTTCAGAATGGTACTTTCATACTGAATACGTACATTGTATATATTTAATTCAGCCGTATCAGGCTGTTTGTACCCTTGAATGTGCAAGCTGTAGTTAGATATATATTTTTTCAATTTTACATAACTAGAGAGAACAAATGATGTATCAAATTAGGAGTGACTTTTCTGAAAAATATTTGTTACATAAATAAAAGCCATGTTCAGCAAGTTTTTAGGCCATTTTATAAACAAAACAGTATATATAATTACTGGAATTGGGTATATGTTGTCTACTAAGGAAAAAAGTAAACCACTGCAAAGAAATGTTTTAGTTAAGCTATATTGTAAATATTTACTCAATGAACTTTTCGTAACAATGGAAAAATATTCATTTTTTATTGTTATTGCATTGATCAAAACTCCACAATTATGATATATGTTGAATGATACATAGTAATACACACTAAAAAATTGGTCCATGTCAGAAACAATTGGCTTGTGATTTGTGCAATTCATGAATATCCACACTCGATCTAAGTATGACGGAGCATTTCTAAAAGGTTTTAGCATTGCCACATACTACATACCTTTGCATGTATGCGATGCTTGCAGAAATGATAGACACATCATTTTTATGATTATGCTCAATTAAGAACTCCAAAACATGTATATAATTGATAATGTTAACAATTCATTAGCTATACCATACAATTGTCTATGTTCTGTCCATGCGGTATTCTGTGAAGACATTATATTCAAACGGACTTCATTATATTAAAATGGACTTGTTAGCACACTAAAGTTGACCATGTTGAAGAATAATTGTTGATCATGCAACAAAAATCCCAGGATAAGTTCGTTTGAAACACGTAAACGGTCCAGTCGCTCATCAACAAAAACAACAATGTAATATAAGTGCTAAAACACATTAAAACAACTCTCCGAAATAATATTATAAAAGCAATTTGATACTTATTGAAAATAATAAAAAAATAAAAAAATATTGAAAATAGCACAAACTATAGGGGCAATTTTTCTCAAAAGTATTGACACCATTTTCGCGAACGTGGATTTGACAACAGTCAATTCGGCTCCTACTAAACACTGCCCGGGGCTGCCTGAGACGACTGCCCGGGACTGCCTGAGACGACTGCCGGGACTGCCCGGGACGCCCAATATCTGGAAAAATGCCTGGGAATCACCAGGATCATTCCAGCAGATTTGAAGCTTATAATTATGATTGTCGTGAACTGCTATTCCTCGAGTCGCGAGAAAAAACACGACCCACGACAAAATTAAAAACCATGACAATCGGTTTATCTCAAAAATAAAACATAACCTATGAAGTTATGTAAATTGTAAATATATATTATAACTTT